GGTGAAATAAAGTACATTTATATTCAAATGTTTTTAAAACGTAATTTAAAAAAATGGTTGCCCTATAGTCATTAGATTTCTTCCATTTTAAGATGAATCAAAGCAAAGCCACATATTCAGTCAAGTCTAAGAGTGAGAGAAAATGTATCAACTATATCAACACATACATTTGAACGTGTCACAGTCTCGTAACTGTCAGAGAAGTTCACGGGGCCAGTCAGAAGCCCAGCTCCTCATGGCGGCCCCTGGCTCAGGTTGGCATGTTGTGCTTTTCTGCACATCATGGTAAATCCCAGCATGAATTCAGAATGTATTACACCTTTTTAAATTACTCATGAACTTTGATTTGAGCGACTTAACTTAACCCACCTCCAAGTCTTCACTGGAGTTGTGCTATTGTATAATAAACTGGTGAATGGCTTTCTATCTGATTATGTGGAAAGTTCAGATGCACTCATACTTCAAATTTTGTCATTTCAGCTCCAAATAAATTCACTAAAATCCCAAAACCTGCATTGAAGTCTGACAAGAGTTTCTGACACTCCATTAGGAAACATTTCAGGGGGAAAATCCCCCAGATTTTCATTGCTCTGGGGGGATTTCACTAAATCTTGTGCTTATTCTCGTGATACTTAGAGAAAGTTAAGCAGTTTTAATAGCTTTCCTCTTGACACATTGATGGTGGAATATGCTGTGCCTCTGTGGCAGATAGCTTCAATCCTGAGAAGCTGAGCAAGAGAGGGAGGGAGAGAGAGATCTGCTCGTCTCTGCCTGCCTCTACACTTTCATAAGGCCCCATCTAGGCTAAATTATTACACTTCCTCCAACATCTGAGGATAAAACCTGAGCAGCACATTATCATCCAGCTTGTGATACAACCGAGTCAGCAATCAATGAGATACATTTGCAACCAGGCATTTGTCAGCGACTCAGAGCGTCAGAGGCAGGAGATTTAAAATGTCCTGCAGTAAATTAAGTGCTGCTGGAGAAGGGAAAGGTGCCGGCTAAGCAGGCAGCCGCTTACTTTAAATGACAGACGGGGTGATGATGGTGTGGTGATGGAGGCAGCGGGGAACTGAACCCGGGTTAGAAGTGGCAGGGTTTCTGAGCGTGGCTGTGCTCGAGCCTCGAGTGGATTCAAAAAGGTTTAATGTTAAAGTTCTTTGACAGAAATGGTTCTGAGTCACAGGTTGTGACCCAGAAGAAGTTTCAAACAGAACAACACCATAAAGGCCGGTAGGTGTTTCAACATGAATGTGTGGCAGTAGAGGATGGCTCTATGACAGAGAAGGCAGGTGAAAGACAGCGGCAGACAGGAAGGAAACTCTTCTGCCCCAAATATAAAAGGCAGAGAGGTCAACTGAAGGTTTACTACCTCAAACATTATTCTGACAGATTCTTTCGTGTATATACTGCAGGGTCTTCAAGGTCTTGATAAGTGGTTGTCAGCTTAGTTGTGTGGGAGAACTGGTGAGAGATGAGTGAACCACGGCTCAGTCAATAAAACACAGTGAAGAAACCAGGAAGTAAAACAAACAAGGTTTTGACATAATAATGATAATAACAACATAACTGACTTTGACAAATTTGACATCCATGAAATAGCTAATTACTGCTCTTCAAAATAAAGTATTAAGCTTTAATTGAGTAATCAGTGACATCTATTCCTTCGTTCTTTCCTCCCTCCCTCATCTTTTATCATCTTTTCTCTCTTGTCATCCTGTAAGTTTGACAGAATTTTCTTTGCACATATTCAATCTATCTTTTTTCATTTTAATTTTGTTTATTTTACTTTGGAGGGACTTGAAATTTAAAAGAAATCTTCCTTGACAAAGCTGTTATTGGAAAAAAATGAAAATAAAAGAGATAAAGGATTCTAGAGGCCCTTATAAAAGAGCTCTTGAAGCACTTAAACAAGAGCCCACTGAGTTCTCAGTGAAGTACAAGGTGAGCACTTACAATTTAAACCATTGGAAACAAGCCTCTACACACACAGATTCACCATCTGTTTAACTGTTTATATCAGTACTCGCAAATGCATTGACCCATGATAAATAAGAGAATAAAAAAATAAAGGCAGAGTATGGTCTTGATTTACATGCATGTTACAAATTTCTGCCAGCAATTTCTTTCGGTTGATGCCTATAATGTAACGTGTGAAATGAAAAGAAATGTGGTTTCACAGAAAGAGGAAATAACATGAAAGGACACATAAAAAACAGTGGTATGGTCCTGGAGTGTTACCACTCTCCCTTGCTCCTTCTCTCTGAGAAACAGGATTACAGCATCCATTTAATAAACTGGGAATGATCCAAAACTACTATTCTCATTCATAGCAGAACAGGAGCCCTTTTACCATATTAAGAGCGTGGGTACAGGAAAGAAGCCCTTAAAATATATAAAACTTGCACACTTGATAGTATGAAGCCTCTACAAATGACAGGGCATGGTGCCACTAAGAGGCTTATGGAAATAATGGGAGTAGTGTAGCTCCTGGGGCGATGATATGCCTGCGGCAACAGAAAGGGAAAGAGACTGGTATTTACGGAGATATCTGGTGGTCTCGTGTTAAGCAGAGCAGTGGCCGTCCTGAGCCAGACTGGAGGGAGGGAGGCCGAGATGCTGTCACAACAGCAAGCTCCGATAAGCCCCAACTGGGTGAAGACAGAAAGGCATTAAGTGAGCATATTTTTTAAGTCGTCTGATGTTCCTCCACCGCCGCTGGAGAGCGAGACTGTGTTCTGAATAATAAGGATAGGCAGATGATTAAGAGACACTCACATATGACTGACTACAAGTGCAGGCAGGTTTTTTAGCTCTTGGATTTCAGATGAGTTGCCCTTCAGCGCAGGTGAAACTATTTTTTTATCCATCTGTTATGCAAACTGGTAACATCTTGTTAACTACACCTTAATGACACTATATAAGAAGTGGGACACCACACTCACTCTTGAATACTCACTCTTGAATTTAAGAGACTACATAATCTGTGCAGTGTACATGAAACTGTCCCTTGTGCACAAATAGCATGTATTATGTATTGATAGAAATATAAAAAAGAAACAGTAACTCCTAATTGTTTTACTGCTGCAAGCAACAGGGGAACTACATCAGAAGAAACGCGACACAGTAAAACATATACTCGTGTTGAACCAGTGGGAAAATGATGGGCTCGTCCGGGATTTGAACCCGGGACCTCTCGCACCCAAAGCGAGAATCATACCCCTAGACCAACGAGCCACATGCATATGAGCGAAATCTTGTGTTCATAAACCTTCCAGGATTATTAACTGCAGGGAATTGTACACAGCCGGCTAATAGTTCTAGCTAGCTAGCCTACTCTGAGATAGCATTAGCTTAATCTGCACAGGAAAAGTTCCTGTCAGCTTTCAAATGAGCTTCAAATAGCAAAGGGCCCTTTCGTAAACATTAGCTGTAGTAAAGTGAGCTGTCTTCATGTTGTTTCTAAGATCAGCATGTCCCCCTGGTTGTTTATTTGTTTTAAAGAATCGTCCTGAATCTTTCACAAGGAGCCTTAGCCCCCTCTCCTGGTCGTCTATCATTAATGCAGGTTAAAATTCACCATTTCTATATTCATATTATTATTCTCTGGTCTTCACTGTTACTTTATACAGGATATGGTCTGTTTTATTTTAAAACTATTTCGTTATTGTAATCTCTGTATGAGTATTATAATAACAGGTATAACATTTCATATTCATTGTATATAAATACTAAGAGGACACTTTGGTCCAGCATATTCTGGCAGGTAATTAAAGTTAATTGGGTATTTTAATAGTAATCATTTCAACTTGCCATGACAGCACATGTGTCCATGTTAGTGTTACAGTCAACCTGTACACATAAGTGAAGAGGCATAGAGCTGAATGCAGTTCAGACAACATACATTTTCTCTTTTTTATCTATCTATCTATCTATCTATCTATCTATCTATCTATCTATCTATCTATCTATCTATCCATCTATTTATCTTTATTGAATTAGCTCCAAACTGTTTTTATCCCAGTCTTTTGCATTTATCCTGATATTCATCAATAGAGACTGATATGAAAATATTTTATATATTATATATTAATATGTTTTACTTGATACCATTTTTGGCCACATCCCCAGTCCTACTACAAACTATTCTAACAATAAACTTGTCAATTTGTCAATTGAAAAAATGTTTAAATGATAAATGAAGATTAAGTTTTAGTTGCAGGTTTTTTGAGTACTTCTTCTATTCCCCTCAATACTACACTAGCATTGTTCATATGACCCAGATGTTGATAATAATGTTTATTATATATGTATTTGTATCGAAGTTTGGACTTAAATGATAGATCAGCTGTTCATCCAATTTTTTTTTAACCTTTTTGTTTATTTTACTCCATTTTAGTTAGTTAATTCAATTTTATCCCAAAATAATCAATTCACTTATACTTCCATGAATGAAAAGGGATTATAAGAGATAAGATAAAATAAAACTTTATTGATTCACACACTGGAGAAATTCAGTTGCTACAGCAGCAGGCAGGTCAGACTGAGGTAGACAAGAGAATACACATATAAAAAGGTAGGTACATGATATTCACCTTCCACTGTAATGGTTTGTACTGAAATGTCATAAAGAAAAGTGCTGGTAGAGAGCTAGTAGAAAATCTGTTTTAAATACAAAGACATATTGTAATGTGCGGATGATTATATCATATTCAATTATATTATATACAATATAATTGAACATTTGATATTGATGTAAACAGCCTTTCCTGGAGTTACAGATATGATATAATAATTCAGTGTGTTTAGGGAAGTTTTACTTGCAGATATAATGATAACAGTGTGTCTAGTGAAGTTTTACTTGCAGATACAATGATAACAGTGTGTTTAGTGAAGTTTTACTTGCAGATACAATGATAACAGTGTGTTCAGTGAAGTGTTAGTTGCAGATCTAATAAAATAGATAATTCAGTGGCTGATCGGTGTCAGTGCTGAGCTGCTGCTGCTTCTCCTCTCGCCCAGTGCATTGTGGTCTGTGAGCTAAAGGAAGCTGCAGTAGCGGAATCTGAAGAATTCGAGGTGTCCGCCAAGTCTCTGCTGCTCACCGACAACTTCCAGTCTGTAGCTCTGCGCACCGTCCGGACTGCAAAGGTAGCACCACCGACTCCTCTCGTTCATCTCTTATTCATCTCTAAGTTGTGTGTGTCGCTATCATTCGCTCCGTTGAAGTGAACATCCTGCAGTGGGAGCTACTCGGCTAGTTAGTGGTTAATGCTAAGCTAAGCTTCTACCAAGTTTGTGAGCAGCTAGCTGTTAGCTGCTGTTGTAGCTTCGATTTGAGCTTTTCCTACTAAATTACAGCTAAACTGTGTTTTCCCCCCTGACTGCTGTAGCATCAGCTAATTTTACTCCCTCTGGGTTGTTACCGTTATAAAAATACCCGATGCTAATTAACCGGTTGCTCTACATTTCATTGCCAGTGAACGGAAGAACATTAGCAGCGTCAGTTTCAGTTAGCGTTTACATTTTTCTGTATGATCTGGGTTAGCAGCACGTCTCGAATTCGCTCAAACTAGTCTCTTAACTAACTCGTACACATATTTGTCTCAACAGTGTTTATTGTGTCTTTCATCCTAACACAGTTGCTGTGGGTGTGTTTCTGCTAGTTTCGGGGGATCAGGGTCTTTGAATCACACAACACATCAGCTAGTAATAAAGCAGAAAACATATGACACCAGTGTGTAGACGCTGGGATTATGGCATAAACATATTTTAATCTCTAATCCTCACATCGCAGTGTTTTACAGCTGTGATGCAGCTAGCAGGAAAAGCAAGGCAGTTTTTTTTTTCAGTGGTGAGACCATAGATCGAAAGACTTCCTGTCTCTCAGTCAGGCCTGTGAGCGTGCAGCTGCATGAACTACCTGTTTTACAGAAAAGGTTCACACAGGATAGAATCCTAGTGTAATGAAGATTTACCGATCGTTGCTCTGCTGTTGTATTTGTCTCAGTTTGTGATGTTGTCTGTTTCCTTTAAGGTTTAACAAGGAGAACAAAATGTCTCAGGCCGACAAAATGAAGGTGAGTGCTGGAAAACTGAAAAAAGATGCCCCATCTGAACTTCCTCTGTCTGATTCAGTGACTGTGTTTCGAGTGTAACAGCTCAGCATTGACAATGATGAGAAAGTAAGGTTGTTTGTTAATGATATTCCACTTTTGTCAGGATTAAAACTTCATTTTAGATGTTAAGATTTTGTTCTCATTGTTTCTTTCTGATTCAGTCTAGGATTTCTTCTTTAAACTCAACATTCCCACTCGGTTCACTGGGACATTCTGTGCCTTTCTGCTTTGCTCCAACCACAAATATTAGTTACTTGGTAGAGCTGCTCTTCATCCACATGACTTACTGATGTGGCTTCATGCGAGTCGAAACGGCTAAAAGCGGCACGGGAACACAGTGCTTATCTGTCTTATCATTCATGACCTTTCCTGAAAGGATGGGGGGGAAAGAGAGGTTTATAAATAATACAAGACTGTATAGTTTAAATCAAGCAAGCCAAATATGATGCAGGTACGTCTTTGATTTAATTTAACATTGTGTAGCAGAGTCACAGGATCTGGTGAGTCGCTATCTGTAGTAAAGAGCCATAAACACTGGAGTGATGGGTGGAAAGTCTTTTGCAAATAGATGGCAGAGAGGGCACTTTTTCCTTCCCCCTTAACCCCAGTTGTTCATGAACAGATGTCTCCTCAGTGTTTTCTACTCCAGTGCCTATAATTAGTTACATTATCAAAACAATGTTCGGCGAAAGTAAAAATTATGTGCAAAACGGCTGTGTTTCATCTTGTAATGTCACTATGACTATATTTTTACATGTATGTCTTTGTGCTTGACATTTTCTTCTACAGCAGGGCCAGTTCACCAACCCTGAGACCCCAGGGTATGTTGGATTTGCCAACCTGCCAAATCAGGTTCATCGCAAGTCAGTAAAAAAAGGATTTGAGTTCACGTTGATGGTTGTAGGTGAGTGTATCATTGCTCTTTTTAATACCTGTTTTCCTTGGTACTATGTGACACTTGATTTATTTAGTTTGGAAAATATATCTGGATAATATAATGATAATGTATCTCTGTGATAACACGTTTCAAACTCGACATCTTAACTAAACATTGACATCTGAGGAACGCTTTCTTTGGCTCGTTTGCATGTGAATTTAAGGTGGAATGTACAGCATGCAGTTGTTGTTGTTGTACATTTTCTTTACGCAATGGCCTCTCCACATTACTGTTTTAATTAACAAATCTTTCACCTCTGTAGCTCCTTTTGTTTGTATATTGAGAGCACGTTGGTGGTACTGTCTTTAAAGCTGTGTTCAGTTATATACAGCTGTATCTTGTGCACAGAGGCATTGTGGGCAATGTAAAATGGCAGATGTCACATCAGTGTAGTTGCTCAGCTGCTGTCAGCACAGCAGCAGTGTAAACTGCTGGATGGGAGTGCTGTGACTGTGTGAACCTCTGTGCTTGTTGATAGGGGGGAGGGTAGGAGTGCCCCTGAACACTGCTCATCCTTTTGCTTTAAAATAAACCAGAGAGGAATGTGGCCTGTGTGCCTCGAGGGACTGATTCATACAGTGTGGACAAGGCCTGCTCGTCCAGCTGCTGCAAGAACACTCATTGAGTGCTTCTGAACCTTCTGTGTGTCTCTGGCATTACTGTGTTCTTCAATAAATAAGTGTTGTCTTGAACACTTAGGTAGTTGCAGTCCCTCCCCACACACAAATGTACAAAATGAGTAGTTCTTCCTCTTGGGTGCTAAATATATGTTAACTCTGATTTTCCATCCTCTTAGGCAAATTGCCAGTTTTTAGGAAGTAGCAAAACCTTCTGTAAATCTTTTGCCACGGCTCTGGCGGGAATCACAGTTGCAGCATTCCTGGGTAAAGCACACAAGCTTGAGGCAGATTATGTTGCATCTGTAACATGAGCATGAGACTTGAGGAACATATTTTCTTAAATTTTTTTGCCTTTTAGTTTCTTCAGATTTGATCATTTCTGTTGCTTGGGCTAAATCGCTGTAGTTTTAGTTAATTAGTGCAGTAAAACAAACAAGGGATATTCTCCATCTTGTATGTGCTAAAATGGGATAGGTAATGATGTCTGATCTACTGAGTTGGCCACATCGCTTTCATAGTGTTGCAATACAAGCCAGTAGCCAGATTTATCTTTAGCCTCAGCGTACCCTCAGGTTCGGCTTGTAATGCTGCTGCGATTAAAAGCCCTAAACACCTCTAAGGTACTCACCTGAAGATATGAACATCCACTGCTGGCCGCTAACTCCTGCTAATGTCTCTGGTGGTTGGAAACTTAATTTGTGCGGAAGACTTTCAAATGTACAAGGGATGTTTCCAATCCTGTCCTATGTTCTAAAATAGGACTTTTCTACGCAGAAATGATTTGTACTGCAAACAAAAAAAGGATCTGCAATATCATGACTTTAAAGACTTGGGACAATTAGCATCATCCATTTGTATTAATTTAGCATCAATTGATCACTCATCTGGTCTTAACTGTGGAGATTCTTTCCCCTTTGTTTCTATTGTTGTCATATCCAAACGCTTTCAGGATTTTTTTGTGCAGCCAGTCATGATTTGTTTGTTGTTATCAGAAAAATAGCGGCAGAGACATTAAAATAAAATCCATCTCAAAGTATTCATGTTCTCGCTGTTCACTATAACATTGGTGAAACTATGCAGTCATCTTCCTCTTGTCTCTGCTGCTGACTGATTATCAACATCCACCTGTATAAGATTAATGGTGAAGTCAGTTTTAGCGGTCTATTGTTCACCAATAATAGGTCCCAACAGGACTATGCTGATGCAAATGTTCTGTGCGGTGTGAGGCCGAGTGTGTGTCACAAGCTGGTGTCTCGTTTCCTGCAGTGAACTGATGTTTTTGTTCTTCTTTTTTTTTTTGGGTTGAAACTGAAAGAAGTTGTCTCAAACCAGCACATTTTTTTTGAAAGTCTCTCTGATTGTGATTCTGATTTCCCAGACTGATGTTTATTGTCTGATGATTCTTTTATTTTTCCTCTGTTGTCAAAAGGTGAGTCTGGACTTGGAAAATCCACCCTGATCAACAGCCTCTTTCTTACTGACCTTTACCCTGAGAGAGTCATACCTGGAGCAGCAGGTAAAACGCACGCGCACATGCACATTTGATTTATGCACAAACCCATGCTAGGCTGTGTTTCTTGCAGTGTATGGATGATTCAGTATGAATATTTCATCCAAATACTCCTTATTTGCAGCCTTTTCTGAGTCCTTATATCTTGTTACCTATTTTCCTTCTAATAGAAAAGATAGAAAGGACGGTTCAGATCGAGGCGTCGACTGTAGAAATTGAGGAGCGAGGAGTGAAGCTCCGTCTCACGGTGGTAGACACACCAGGTTACGGAGATGCGATCAACAGCCAGGACTGGTATGAAATCTTATCGGGCCGTAGGCTGATAAAGTATTTTTAGATTTGAATTACTCACTGTCAGTGTATTTTTAAGAGCTACAACACAGTTTTTTAAATAAACAAGTTTAAATGTTGTAAATTATAGCAGGAGGAGAATGTGTCTTTGCATCTGGGCTTTTAAATGTATTATTTGTACAGTTCATTGTAATATAATGTGTGTTTAATGTTATCTGTATTTTTTTTTCTTTCCAGTTTCAGCACTATTATCAGCTACATTGATGACCAGTTTGAACGCTACCTCCATGACGAGAGCGGTCTGAATCGTAGACACATTGTTGACAATAGAGTTCACTGCTGCTTTTATTTCATCTCCCCGCTTGGTCATGGGTGAGTCCGACTTTACAATTTACACAAACTGAATGCACTTCAGTTCATACACCGAAGTTTCTTGTGTTTTGATTAAAATTCTTTCCGCTCTCTGCTTTTCATTAAATCCTTTCTTGAATACTCTTTGACCCTCTATCTTTCTGTTTCCTGTCTGAGCAGCCTGAAGCCCCTGGACGTCCAGTTCATGAAGGCCATTCACAACAAGGTTAATGTGGTTCCTGTCATCGCCAAGGCCGACACTCTCACCCTCAGAGAGAGGGAGAGGCTCAAGCGCAGGGTGAGGACATGAGCTGTCTATTGTTGAGGGGGGTTTCCAGTTTAATATGAACAATAGCTCACTAAATACTGTATTGTAGGTACAACTCCAGTGATAACATTACAGACATTTTCAGACAGGAACTCTCCAGAATATTGAGCTGGACATTTTCCAGAGTTTACCTGGAGTGACTCTGACATTTGCATTCTCACATACAGCACACATGGTGCAGGTCTGAAAGCAGCTTAAGTATGTTGACTTCAGTAATATTTCTGATGTCTTCACTAAAAAGAAAAGAATAGTTGTCATTTGTCCTGATGGTCTGTGTTTTTCACTGTTTTCTTTGCAAGATTCTGGATGAGATCGATGAACATGGTATTAAGATTTACCACCTTCCCGATGCTGAGTCGGATGAGGACGAAGACTTTAAAGAGCAAACTAGGATCCTGAAGGTAAACTCTCTAAAGATAAGTTGATGCTTTTGTTGCCACTGAAATAAAAGCCATTCTCTATCCTCCCACAGAGTTCCATTCAATTACTCTTGTGATTTGTTTGATTATGATAAATATGTATGTGGGCGGTTCCTCTCTGGGAAAAGACGCATGAGATTCTCCTCTTCTTCAGGCCAGCATCCCGTTTGCAGTTGTAGGATCCAACCAGCAGATTGAGGCCAAAGGGAAGAAGGTGAGGGGCCGCCTGTACCCCTGGGGAGTGGTGGAGGTGGAGAACCCAGAACACAATGACTTCCTCAAGCTGCGGACCATGCTGATGTGAGTGTTCGAGGAGCTAGAGGAAGAGGAGCTCAAGTTTTTCGTACTCTGTGAAATTTAAGTGTATTCTGTTTTCCTTAAAATTCTGTGTGAAGAAGAAGAAAGATCTAGTTAGGTGAAATTATTGATATATTTTGCCAGGATGTATTTATCCACAATAAGATAAATACCTCTGCCACTAGCTTTACGTTACTTAACTTATATACTTCACCTATCGTTGATATTGTTGTATTATTCTTTGTACTAACAAGAAACAAGAATTTCCTTGGGGATTAGTAAAGTTCTATCTTTGCTTAGCTTTGATGTTGCGCTGTAGTTAAGGTAAGAAAGGATAAAATATTACATATTATCCAAATTGATGCAACACAGTTTCTAACAACATTAGCATTATTATGTAGTTAAAATAAAGACTATTTTATAAATTAAAGTGAACTCCATAACCAGACAGCCTCTTCTCCCCATGTGTGCAGTTTTCAAAAATGTCTTTGTACTATGTATTAAATAGATGTTGAACTTTCCACCACCCCACAGAACCCACATGCAGGACCTACAGGAAGTGACCCAGGACCTGCACTATGAGAACTTCCGCTCAGAACGCCTCAAGCGGGGTGGCAGGTTGTCCTCCCATGGTTATGTTCTGCCTCTGTCTCCTGCGTACGTACTTGTCTGTCAGCTTGCTTCTCTGCACCTCCCCCCTCCAGCTCGAACAGCAAACCTCTGATAAGAAATGATATATTTCCAATACAGTTGGTTAGAGATAAATGGAAATAAGCCTAGTCGGACACATGCACACATCACAGAAACATTTACAGAGAGTTATGAGTAATGAGTGGTTCTCATTCATTTCCTTCTTATAATTCATATAATGTTGACCTAGTGTCTCTAACTCATCAGTTTGCACGTTAACCACACCAGTTAGGTCGTGGTATTTGGGTAGTGGTGAGTCGTGGTTTTACATGGTTAGTCAGTAGCATGTGTAGTTTGAGCAATGTAGATGTTGTAAATAGGATTTTTGTAAGTTTCATTTAACATAGTGTGGATACGTCATCACTTAACCCCCAACTTAGAGCAAAAAGATTCTTTTAGACTTTCCTCCAAAGCCAACCCAGGATAATGGAGTGGTTTTACTGTCTTCACATTGCCTCACCATCTGTCCAACGATGGCTGGTCTTGATTTGTCCAATCCCATGAGTGGACTGTTGGAGGTACTGTTTGTTTTCATTCCGGGGGAGGTAACGCTGTTCCCCTGACTCTCGCACTTGCTGCTTCTCTCTTGAATCCTCCGCATTCATCTCTCTGTAGTTACCCGTAGATGTCCACTTTTTTACTTCTTCCTGCAAAGAAACCTCCACTAACCCACTGACCCTTTTCTTCCACTTTCTAAGTGTGGCTTTTTTCATGTTGCCTAATGTTTCAATTGAAAAGCTACTTGCTCTCAGGCTTTATCACTTACACACGCAGAGCCCTGCTGGCTCATTGTACTGCTTCATAAATTAGCACACTATCTTACTCTACAGCTATAACCTCTCTCACTGTGCATTTAACCGAGTTAACTTTGTTTGGCAGTTATTCTATAGAAATATTACAACTAACAGTAACATGAAAGTAATAACTTGTTCCATCGATACAGAAACGGACCGGAGCCGGAAGAAATGGACAAGGATATGATCCTTCAGGAGAAGGAGGCTGAGGTGAGACATTGCAGACACAATCCAAGTATTCAAAAATGCATTTCTCCTCCTCATCCTCAGTTGTCCAGGTTTCCTAAAGGAATAGTTTGACACCTCTAATGAATATGAAGTATAGTATAAAGACTGGAAATGCAGGTGAGGGACTTTCTCCCCCCCTTTTTAAACAGTCAGGCAATCTGTTTGTCCCTGTTTATGCTAAGCTAACTGACTGCTGGCTGTTGTCAAACAAGTACAAGATTTCTGTTTTATTTTAGTGACTCACAATACTGTGAAGCTGGTAAATAATTGATGTTCACAGTTGGTTTCTGTCCGAGCAGTCAATGCAGGAGCAGTTGTTTCTAATCAATAATTTATAACTGGCAGACAGATATTAACCATAGTACATTTAGCTGGACTGACAGATCAAATTAATAGAAGGAACTATTAGCTGTCTGGGTGAATGTGTCTTGTTTTAAGTGCACTCTGTTATAAACACTGATGTTCTTTCACAGTTGAGACGGATGCAGGAGATGATCGCCAAGATGCAGGCCCAGATGCAGAAGCAGGGAGACGGCGAGGACGTGTGAACATTCTTTGGTAGTTATCTAACATGTACAACCTCAACATTTTAAAGCTGCGGTTATGTTTGATGGATTTGTGCTCAAGGACAGGAACAGTGAGCATGAACTAGGCTTAATGCAGACATTGCATATTACACCGTCTTCTGTGAACAATTGACTCATTTGTTAGGTTACAACTCATCTCACCCTACCCTTCCAAACATGACAGGGAATCTGTGACAGCCTTCAGTTGTCATAAAAACTCAAAAGGTGTTTAGTTTGTTCAGTCCGGGCTATTGAAAAAACATGGCAGCCTCCATAGAGAGGACCCGCTCCCAATTTGAAGTATTTATATATAGGGTTCATTCCAGGGTAAAGAAAACAACATTCATACAATTTAGATGAAACACACGAGTGAATCACAAGGATTATTTTATGTTCAATTTCTACCAATAGACCCATTTCACCTTCATCTTACACACTGGACCTTTAAATATCTAAATGAAAGTATGTATCCCTAACGATTGAATGATAATGTGTATTTTTTTCGTCTTTCGTTTCCACTGTAGGTGTTTGAGCCACTGCTCATGTCTGACCAGAGAGGATTGACTCGTACTGATTGCCACTATCTTCATTCAGTCCCACATGGGATCTGGATTTTTTTTTTTTTATATACATACAGTAAAATATATTCAAACAGTGTTATGGTTATATATTTACAAATGGTTCTATTTCTTTTTTATGTTTTGTTTTTTTAAACATTATGCCAGTTACTCAAATGAAGTCATGTGACCCATCTTAAAAAATTGTGAAGTATATTTTTTAATACAAATCCATTGGGATCTTCTGTTACTTCTCCAGTTTGTCCTTATTTTGCTATTGAGAAAACCAAAGTATTGGTGCTTGGATTCAGTGCGTTTAGTCCAAAAACATCTCATGCTAACTAGCATTGGCTGTGAGAGTGCATCATTGGGAGACTCAGCTATGGTGAAAACTAATAGCAGCTTTTCATTTCATTGTTTCAACATTCATTTTGTCAAACATAATTTAAGATAACCAACCAAGCTTCCCATCATATAGGGTTCACTCTGCTCAGTGTTATCATATTATCTCACTCATGCATGCAACTCTCTCGGCTCCTCCCTTCTTTTAACCTCGAGTGCAGTTCTCAGATCAGTATCATGAAGTACGACTGCCCTGAAGCTCCGTTTGAGTTTGATCTGAATCAAATAAACTGTGACCCTTGACCTCTTACAGTCTTCCTGTAGAACTGACCAATGAAGGACGGACAAATGAGGTGTCTTTTTTTTACTGTGACACACCTCTGTTTGGTGCATCTTTGAATTAGATGCATTTACTTAATATCTCCTCTCTATTGTAAAGTGAAGTCATGTGCCAGGGAGCATTTTGTTTCATTGAGATTTAAGAAGTATCAACTTTCACGTGTCCCAACTGCTGAGTATTTTGTGGTTTCTATGGCCGCAGAGGTTAATGGTGACCCGATGAGGTCAATGTAGCCAATGTTTCCCCGTCACCAGCCAAGATGTGTTCTTGACATTCCTCTTTGTGCGGTTTTTATCCAATATTAAAGTACCAAATATTGTTCTTGATACATATATTGTAATAAAGGTTTTATTAAACTTGAACAGTCTCCAGAAAATCGTAATTTTATAATTTCTTGGTAAATAAAGTTTTAATAACCCTGAATCTACCTTCATATAAACATTATGAGACAGTCAGTTTTTTTTCAAGCTCCATCGTAATATAATAAATGTCTTGTTCCACGCTGCTCTTGAAGTGGCAATGTTAGAAGAGCCTGAAGCTGCTCAACACACTTGTCGGCTGATGCTTACTGCTCTATTCCTCTGTGTGTGTGTGTGTGTGTGTGTGTGTGTGTGTGTGTGTGTGTGTGTGTGTGTGTGTGTTTGATTTCCATGAATAATTTCCTCAAGACTGACAAAACATCATGAACCTGCCATAACTGTTAAAGGTCCTCACAACTTACAGTTCAGTTTAATGAGAGGTTAACTGATCAAAACCTATAGATTTGACATTCTTTGTAGAAATATATATATAATACATGATAGTTTCACAATGAGCAAAAAAAGAAACAATTAGACTTCAATAATATAACAACTACCTCCAGCAAGGAGGTTCTCTTTTCACCTCTGTCGGTTTGTTGGCTGGTTTGTGAGGGGGGGGAAGCCACAATTTTTTTAAATGTATAATTTCCTTTAACGTTGTGAAATAGGGCATTTTTGGACATTTTCACCATGTTCCCAGGGAATAATTCATAGATCTAGATGGAAAAAACAGACACAATTATGGAACTGATATCTGAATGTGCAGCTTGATTTAATTTAATGACTGCTGGGACTTGGAGGAGGTGTGCACTCTACTGAGGGCCATTCTAGTTATTAACATGAATTATTTCTACAGGTTTTCTTAACTACTGACCATTGCATTTTACAGAATAATAATGAAACTCACATGTCTGAACTAGAGGACATTTTGAAATGATGTCGGGTCAGTCACGTTGGCGTTTACACTGCACGAGTCTGTAATAAGAGAAAAAAAAACCTGTGTGTGTCAGGGACAGGGTCACATAAACTCTGCAGCTTATATTAACTGCATCGGGCTCAGGTCGGGGTTGGGACTGAAAATCGGGCACTCTATTCTGGACAGATGTCTGAGTGTGAGCATCGAGCAGTAGGAATCTACAACTTCCCATGTTGTGGCTCCTTTCTGCAACAAACAGCACATTGAAGACAATGAGACATTTTCCATAAACTTTATTATAGTTTTTTTTCTTCTCAACCTAACAGGTATACACAACGCTCTAAATGTCGTGGCTTTTTTTGTCTTAAATACTCTCCGCTCTTAAAGAAAAAACTGTAAAAATATTTAATTATAACTAATTAAAAGATCTCTTCAGGGACAGGACTAGGAAGGGTGCAAAGGTAGAGAGGAGGGTGTGTGTGTGTGTGTGTGTGGAGGGGGGGTGTTCTTCTGTGGTCTTTATCTGAGACATTGGGTGGGTCTGGGAGACAGAAAAAAGGGGTGACAGGTTTAAGTTACATCCAGCTGGGGGTTTCACCGCGAAGACGGGGTGGTGTTACCATTTAAAGAAAACCTGAAAGAACGACAGGAAGCAGCTGGTTAGAATATAATGAAGACATGTTCTCTGTTGCCTAGTGAACGTCCAAATCTGACGGCTGTGGGGGCTGCTGCTATATCACCTGCACACTCTCTCCATCATATGTGTGACGAGGCGGTCGGAGATGCCTGGACAGGACTCCTCCGCGAGGTTGAAGGCGTTCTCCAACTCCTCGATAGCTCCTACACCTCCGCCACTTGCCCGCCGCTTCTCCTTCAGCTGTTGTTCAAGTAGAAAGAATTTTAAGTGAAGTTTAAGGCTGTACAATAAAAAGAATAGCCAAGGTTGGTTGCTTCTTGTATTTCTCTTCAGAATTACATGCTCCCCTTCTCTTTTCTGTTTTAATTTTACTGTTGAATACAAATATAGACAGTAACTGTATTGTTCCAAATTTTTTTATCATGAAGATCTGGTTATGAATTTGTATAATGAACACATAGAAGAAACTTTACTTATTTCCTGAAGGAGCAGAAAGATTCATTCTGGAACCAAATAAACCTAAATTAGCAACAAACCCAACCAGTCAGACATGTAATGACATCAGTAACCTTCTCAGTAAATCTGATAAAATCACTGATTATTTCCACGTGTTAAATAAATACAGTGCAGATCAAATCACTGCTGCAGCCCAGATGCACATTGTTACCTTCGCCAATGTTTTCTCCACTGTCTGTTGGTTTACTTGTCAGCAGGTTTATGCAATAACTACAAAACAGATTTCCAAAAAACTTGGTGGATGAAAGAGACATGGGCCAAGAAAGAACCAATTAAATTTTGGTGTGGATTCGGACAAAAGGGCAGATGCCATATGGCATTTATCTGTTAATCAGCAGAAATACAATGAAAAAGTTAAGATATAAGTTCTATTATCCAAACCTCCAAGACTCACACATACCTCTCTGAAAATGGGAGTTACCAAAGCAGACAAGCATTGTGACTTAGGTTGTCGTTTCACTGAATCTCCTGACTGCAAAGAGGAAAAAATGGTGTTAGGAAAAAAACGAAACAATAGAGTCTGTGTGTGGATGTGCTGGATGTGACTTACGTCGGAATCTGTGTGTGTGTAGCTCTTCTGTAACTTGTTCATAGAGTTGGGTCTGACCGTGGGGAAGGTCCACATGGGACATGTATCCACATCACCATCAGCATCCCTGAAAGATGTGAGGGTGGTGAATTAACAAGAGACAAAAATATTGACATATATGAGCAGCACAAACATGATCTCACATATAATGAATCAACAAGCTTGTAAAGATACTAAGAAAACGTATCTATAGTGGATAATATGTCCTTTACATATTACTACGCATGTGAATTATCCTCTCTTCTTTGCCGAAGGAGTGGTTGTTTACCTCAACCAATCAAGTTGCAGGAAATATGGTCACAATCTCTGCTTATGTTCTTGATTTTAATAATGGCCAGAAAAGTCACACTGAAGCTAAACTGTTGTCATGTCATAATTTCGGATTAGACATTTGTGGTAAATTGTGTCACAGTTAGGGTATGAACTTTGTTATGGCCAGAAATATGTTTTGTGTGGTCACAGTGGAGTTGACCTTTGACCATCAAACTTCAAATAGTCTGCATGAACTGTCTACATGAACGGGGAGAAGCAATAACTTCCCCTTTAACAGTCACTGAAACAGAAAAACTGCATGTATAGACTCACCACCTTAAAGCCTTTCTACATAAATATAAGAAAATAGAATTTAAATAATACTAGATCTGTTAAGAGTCACTGATTTGATCAAATGTGTGTGAACAGATACTTGAAAAAGAGTGGATGTATATAGAAGTGGAATGCATGAAGGTATGTTTCTTGAGACTCACATATCTGAGTCATCAGAGCTAGATTCCTCCCCGTGTCCCTCTGACTTCCAGCGTCGGTAGCGGTCAATCAGTTCTGTCAGGTAGGCCGTCTTCTTGGTGTAACGTGTGATGAACTTGTGCTTCAGAAGCTCTTTGGCGGTTGGCCTCTGCCGAGAAGGAAGAACACAGAAAAACGAACATTCAGTGAGAGAGTCATCAGTAGGTTCTGTGACTGGAAGAAGAATTAGCTGGAATTTGTTGTCTCGTTTTTTACATCATAAGCAAAGCTTTAAATATGAGTCTACCATCACATAAATTGGATTTAACATATTAGCATGTTGCTAGAATGTGATTTTGATCATGTTTGAATATTTAATTAAAGAACAGAACAAATTTTAATTCCAAATAAAGCTTGGCAAACTAATCTAATCACCAGTGTGGTAGGACTCACACCAAAAGAGCAGTGCAAATCTGGAATTATTTTCCAATTTCTCTAATTTCATTTAGCCCAAACAAACACGTCTGGCCGCATTTTATAACGCCTGCACAAGGTTTTACTTACAAAACGTGGGTCTTTATTTAGACAAGCCTCCACAAACTCTTTGAAAGGTTTGCTGTAAGGCCCCTCCAGGGTGGGAGGAGTGTTTTTGGGGATGAGGAAGAGGACCCTCATGGGGTGTAGGTCAGAGTTGGGTGGTTCCCCTTTGGCCAACTCAATGGCAGTGATGCCCAAGGACCAGATGTCAGCCTAGGTGGGAGAGAGGATGTGATATTAAGGTGTAAGTTCATTTACACTTGATATTGTTAAAGGACGTAATAAACAGAAAACAAAATGTGTATCAAAACATTTTTACCAAATGCGTAAAATTTCTCATCAGTGCCACCACCACCACCAATGACAAAACCTTATCACCTGATGTTCTACCAAAGTGAAATCCAAAGTGAAAAGCCTTGCTCATTTTTTGAACTCTTCAAAGGCGTGACTTGAGGGGCTTGCCGGCACATCATAGACTCTGACTAGACTTGGATGGGGTGAAGATAAATGTATTGATGAGATGCCCCCTGACCTTTTACACTGCACATGTCTGTGATTGAAGAAAACAAACAATAAACATTTGTGTGTACATTTACTGCATTGGACTAAAGTGGGTGTGGACAGAAAAATTTGTCCCGAGCTGCACTGTACACTGTGACGTCCACTGAAGTGTTTCATCTCCTGCAGCTTGATGTGTCATTATGGGCAGGATGTCACTGAAAAGCAGAAGGATCAGTCGGACTCAGCTTGTCTCTTCTCATATGTGTTTTCATGATCAAAAGTACTTTAGAGACCAGACATATTAGTTGGGGGTACCTCCTGGTGAAACATTGTGTAGTGTGTGACCCCCTGATGTCAGTCAGCATGTGGTATCGACTCTCAATGACTGCGTGAATCCTGATTGCAAGACAGCAAGTTGTGTAGTGTGAACTACAAAGCAATACAATGACTTTGAAAGTCATTCAGTGTGAACTCGGCTTAAGTGAATCATCTTTTAACAACCTAAGCAAAATACAGTTACACTCTCTGTCGTCTCATGTCTACTCCACCGACTCCAGCCTCACCTTGAAGTCGTATGCCGACTGTTTGATAACCTCTGGAGCCATCCAGAAAGGTGTGCCCACAAACGTGTTCCTTTTAATCTGGGTGTCTGTCAGCTGTCCTGCCACCCCGAAATCTGCCAGCTTCACTTCGCCCTGCTCCGACAAGAGCACATTGGCAGCTTGGAGAAAGAAAAAAAGTCAAAAGGCAAGAACAGATAAGAATCAGTACAGGTTTGTTTTCTGTGTCTGTTTCACTAGACTAGCTAAACACACAGCATCAATAAACTTGTCGGCGCTCATAAACAATGTAGTCCCATTTGGGATGGCAATATTATGGGATGATGAACAGTAATGAGGATGCTGTTGCACCTTATCAAAGCTCATACAAGGAACTTTTCATTTTTGTTGATTTTGTCGTCTCTGTGGTCAAAAGTTAAAAAAAAAGCGATTCCTGGGTGCAAGTACCAAGGGCGCGACAAGGGGGGGGGGTTTAAATATCACAATACTCAAAACAGCGCTCATCTATTCTAGTTAGCCTTTAACCTAGCACGTAGCCCGTCCTCCGCTTCTGTTTCCTCTTGCTCCAACTTAGGCTTTTCCAGCCTGACTGTGGAAAACCGTTGCTCTGACCTCAGAGGTAATCCGTCCCGACCACAGACATTGAGAATAGATAACAGAAAAAGAAAATGTTCTGCCTGATTATTTCATTTGCCGATTTAGGTCATAAAGAGGCAGCAATATTAAAATAGGACTGTTTCATAACCAGTTCAAAACTCAATGTAGGGGCTTTGAGGCCAATCAAGTGTAACTTCTGAAAATCCTTCATCCCATTAAGTCTTGTCAAAATTTTATCAGCAGCTTTCAGCACATTACATGTAGCAGATGGATGAACAGATGGACTCAAGATACTTGACAAACTGCAAATTCTCTTTTTTGAAAAACGTAATGCACGCACGCATGTTGTTAATTAGCAGTTTGATCATTGCTTCAAAATCAATCAAAATCTGAATCAAGGCTTTGTACAAGGACACCGTAAAACAAAATAAAGTGATAGATGAAAAAGAGGGGACAGCTAGTGACTGTTTCCAACTGAATGTTTGCTTTGTGTATCTGTTGTCATCTGTACAGTCATCAATGCATGAAGAGAGTGCTTATTACCTTTAATATCTCTGTGAATCTTTCTCTCAGAGTGCAGATACTCGAGCCCCTTTAGTATTTCCCTCAGTATTGTTGCAATGTACGTTTCTTCCAGAGGCCCTGGATGGAGCTTGAGTGATAAAGGCACACGAAATTTTGGGAGAGAATAACAGGTCAGATTTTGCTTCTACCACTGTAAAATTTGTTTAAAACTTTGTAAGCAGCAAATAAATGATCCAGCCTCTTACCAGATCCAGAGCAGATCCTCCCCCTAAATACTCCATGATAATCCACAACTTGGTCCCCTGAAAGGAAACAAAAATATTTGAAAAAAGACTTAGAAAACCTGTACAGCACTGTGTCTTCATGTTGTAACTGTGACAACCTGTGTATGTATCGCTGCAGTATTCGTGTTATCAACTCACCTTCAGGTATGATCCATAATACTTGGTAACAAAAGGACTGTCACACTGGCTCAGCACTGTGATCTCCTGCTGGATGTCTTCGATCTCGTCTTCTGCCTCCTCCAGGTCTATGATTTTAATCGCCACCACTTCCTTTGTGCGGTTGTTGATGCCTTTGTAGACCTCTCCGAAGGAGCCTTTGCCAATCCGCTCTTGCTTGGTGAAGTACTCCTCAGGGTCCAACCGGGTATTCTGGATCAGAGACAGCAAAGAATGCATATCATAATGACATCTCTTGTAGTATGATTTGTGTGTAAGAGTTGCTGGACATTTAAACAGCACAGAAACAAATTGTTTCACATATGATTGCTGAATACAAAGTTAACTTTGAATTGGAGTTATATATGGGTGTTGTCCTCCAATATAATGTAGTTTACTGCTGATAAAAAAAAGATGTTGGATGATTAAACTTTCTTATCTGAGTCAATGCCCACACAATTTTTGGACTTTCGATTTAATGTGCTGAGATGTAATGCAAGAGGCATTACACCTGAGAGTGAAGTGGTTTTCTGCATCTTTGCCAGCAGGAAATTAGTGGTGATTTCACCGAGTATGAAGCACACACACACAATATATATAGCTGCATGTGACATATAGCATCTGCTGCATGTGACATATAGCATCTGCTGCATGTGACAACTGCAACTCTAAAGCAATGGAGGCACTTTAAATGTGTGATGCTATGAAATGTACAGTTTGTCATCAAGTGTTCTGCCAATGTTGATGCTGACAATGGCAGGAAGATAGAACAACTGAAACCATACTGGTGTAATGAGAACGATGTTCCACTGATGGCTCAGACCCCCACCCACCTATTCATGGAAAAGCTGACGGTGGTGGGGGCTCGCCCTGTCTGGGACCAGAGGAAGGGAGGTGACAGTGTGTATAAAGAGGGTTAGTGTACCTGGTTCTGCATGTCTCGAAGGTGAGCCATCCCCTCAGCAGGTTGGACAGGGTCAGCCACAGCTCTTCTCTCTCCTCAAGTTGCCTGCTGCTCCTCTCGGGCTCTTCCTCCCCTTCTTAGCTGACTACGGGGCTAGCTAGGTGGCTAGTCAACCAGATAAACACCCAATCTGCTGCCTTTCACGGGGCTGTCACTCCGAGCACTGTTTTCGGCCTCGAGTCCGACCGAGGAGCGAACAGCCCGGCGACACGGCGAGCTACTGACCGAGAGACTCCATGAATGTCCGCGGTGGTGAACGAGGAGGAAAAAAAGCTCCTTCCGCGTATTAATATTTAATTCATTTCAAGGAACGCTTCGCCTGTTGTTCATTTGAAGCTTGAGGAGGACAAAATAATGGCCCAGACGCACGACGCATGCGCGGTGCAGTCGCACAAGTTAGAATTGTGGGAGTTGTATTTCCGAACTGTCATCTCTGATGAGGCGCCTGAACGGAACATTTCTTCTTCATGTGTTTGCAGCTAGTGAAACTTTGGACCAAATACTTACTTATTTAATAATAATAATACAAATAAACGTTATTTATACAGCACTTTTCAGAACACAGTTACAACATGCTTGCTTCACAACAAGGAAATATTAAAATAATAAACGATGCATAATATATATAATAAAATTTAAAAAAAAACAACCAAAATCCAATGTAATACCTTTCCATATTTTTGTATGAATTATTTCAATACCATTTACTTTTTTGCATTGTGTGATTCCAAAAAAGTGCGGAAACTTATTTTATGAATATGTTATATTTGGGTGCTTGAACTATGACTGAAACATTGAGGAAGAAGCTTTTATCATAAATGTATTAATTATCATTGCAAAAATCTATACAGGTTACAAATGCAATGTTCTTGGCAAAAACCTGTCAAATTTGTTTTTATAAAGATTTTAAAGTAGAGTATTTAAAAGGGTTCAACCCTGTAACAACAAAAAGGGCATGAAACAGTAAATCTATATATTTACAAAGCTGTTTTATTGTCAGATTGTTTGACACATGTTAAAAGATCAATAAAGGTTTGTGTAAACTCGTTTGAGCGTTTCATTTGTGTGCGCTCGTTTTTCAACCCGAGTGGTCCCTGTGGGGTGTCCCTCCCTTTTACTGGCTACGTAGCTCATAAGCCCCGCCCCCCGGACACACGGGGTGAATTGTGTGCAGCAGCTCCTCACACTGGCCCGGAGCGGTGTGTGTCTCGGTGTCGCTCGTCCTCAGTCCCGGTTAATGCCGCTGATTTTACAGAATAAACGACCTTTAGACGCGACATTTTAAACCCCGCTGTTAAAACCTTACCGGTAAGTAGCCACAGAAGCTAAAGCCGAGTAAAGCCGTAAATAGCTGTGGTTAGCCCGCCTGCTACCACAGACAGCCTCGCTATCGTGTTTTGGTTAAGTCAACATCTGCTAATCGTAGCAGCTAACGCTTATCAGACACCAGACTAGAGACATAAGCTTGATATTAGCTAACGTACATTCTAGACCTGGCGTCTTCTGTGGGTTTTTATTCAGTGACGTTAAACCCACGAGACAACAACTGCCTCACCTCATGTCAGCGTTATGTAATTCAATGCAATACAACGTGTAATGCTATTTCTTATATCAATCCCTTTGCTTTGGCTGCTACACCACCCACCTCCTTGTCACCAGGCTTACCCAGTTATTTATGGGATGTGTCCTACAACAAGAGCCAGAGATCGAGTGGAGGACAGTACCACCTGCCACTGAGCCAATTGGAAAGGAATACATTGGCCATATTTGTGAACTGAAATCAAACAGTCACACTACTTTTTATGATTATTACTGACATCGTAAAATCAGACAGACTGCAAACCTGCAGATATCTCACTTATGATCTTAAGGTCATTCTTTTTTTTACACATGCCACTCCTGCCACTGACAGCACCATCTCCTATTTTAAGTGTTTTTCCATATCATCCCATTCACAGGCTGGATGAGTGGGCCAACCTTCGCCTCCCCCTCTGCGGAGGTGGCTGAGATGAACCGCATCCACTATGAGCTGGAGTACACAGAAGGCATCAGCCAGCGCATGCGGATCCCTGAGACGCTAAAAGTGGCCTCAGAGAACCAGACTGGGTCCTTTCCGCTTGAGCCGCCCCTGCTCACTCACACAACTCTGATGCAGGTTCCTGAGAGGATTATTGTTGCAGGTGAGGACCGGAGACAGGACGTCAGTAACAGGTTCCATAGTAGAAGTACAGTTTGTGATAATGACAATGTATGCATCACCATATTATATGCTGGATAAAGCACATAAATATGCTGGGCATTTAACTCCATATCAGAAATAATCTCTCCATACTAACAGACCTGAAAATGCACCTTGCCCTGGTTCTGGGCAAAATATTAAACCCAGAACAAGCACACAACTGAGCCACTATCTCCCACTGAAAGCTGCAACTGTGATCACCTGTCCTTGTCACTTCATCCACAGGTGACGATGCTGACCCTCGATTTGCTCGTCCAAGAGACTTAGACCTGATTCAGTCCGTCCCACCCTTGGACCTCCTGAACATGAAGGCCCCACCACGAATCCTCACCCTCACAGAGCAGTCACTGGACTCTCTGGACACTGAGCAAACTGCCTCCTCACAGAACAATCCCAGCCAGACGGTAAGGGTCATGTCAGGGTTTCTTTACAATGTTCCTTATGCTGCTCATTACTATGAATATAATTGACTGTATTTAGGAGTAAATTGTGGTACACTACTACAAAATTCACTGGACATGCTGCTAGCAACCTGGAATTAAACACAGTGTCACAAAACATAGGACTTTTATGCATGAACCACAATAATGATATAGTGATATTCTGTTGTTAATGGTTATGGTTTTAATTTGTCAACATTTAGCCTGATCCTGACATCAATTAAAATTTTTCTATCAATCACAGGGCCACATTCATGCTCGCTCTCGAAGAGAACGTAGTGCGAGTGAGCACATATCTGGCCGCCACAGCAGTCACGTCAGCAGAGGTGAAATAAGGTAAGAAAACGTCTACATCTGAGATGTTACGAGGCTTTGCTGATTATTTTCCATTCAGAATTTCATGTCAGTTATTTTTCCTTCACTCTTTGTGTCAAAAAAAAAATCTAATTTCTTTTCCTTTCATGTCCACACTAATTTCTCTGCCAGTGTCACCCCGTCCCCCTCTGCTCCCCCAGTCCGCTTATGTCCCCCCCTCTGTTCCCCCGAGGATGCAAGTATCAACCTGTTTACAGCTGCTGGGGTCCTGTCTTACATCCAGTCGACAACACGTCGGGCGTACCAGCAGGTCCTTGAGGTCCTGGATGACAGCCACCGCAGGTGTCTGTTCTTTTTCACTGAAATTCTCTGAACTCGCTGTGATCACAAAGTTTCTCAGAAAAAAATCAGCTGCTTACTGTGGTGAAAATTCATGAAGTTGAGATATTTTGTCAACATCATAATAAATCTCTTAAGATGACAAACAGCCTGTAGGAGTTTCTGTGACAGCAGAGAGAGCAGCTGTAAGAAGTCAGAATAGGATACTTTTTTATTTTGATGAATTGAATGAATGTCTTGATGTCACCATAATTCGTTTTTATTTGTAGCTCTGCAGGTAATCCTCAAGCCAGACTAATTTTCGCTAAACTGAGATATGTTTATCTCTAAAGGACAAACCTGGACTTGGCCCTGGATATAAACCCTGATGAGTCTGGCTTGGTGGACGCTTCCTCACTACGACGACAGGTAATTCGTCTCACAGGCTGCCTACTTTAAGGGACATATGCTGTACTTCCCTACTCCTTTGGTGTAGGTAATGTGTCCTTTGTGAGGTATTTTCTCATGTTGTGTTAGTTCTTATATTTACACCTGTGAGGGTGCAGACAGTGATTAGGAGAAATCGTGGCAGATCAGTTACAGTTGGCAAATTTCAGACGCTTGACCGTAAACAAAAATATACAATTACTTCTCACATCATGGGCCAGGAAGAAAGTCCACAAAGGTTTTCTCTGAAACTAACAGTGATATAAACTGATCTGAGAACAGAAAGTACCATGGAAAATCTGAAAAAATGATCAGATTTTTCAGATCTGAGGCTGATTTAAATTTTTTATCATAGATTTTGACATCGTCTTGAATACTTCAAATTTAAATTGAATCCTAAATAACGGCAATCGTAGATAGAAACTTAATCATATCTTACCCAGCTCTAGCATGGACACAGCAACATCACTTGTACACAGAGAAAACATCTTTTTGTTTGTGTGATCACTCAGATTGTGAAGCTGAACCGGCGTCTGCAGCTGCTTGAGGAAGAAAACAAAGAACGCTCCAAGCGAGAGGTGATCCTCTACTCTGCTACTGTGGCGTTCTGGCTCATAAACACCTGGATCTGGTTCCGTCGCTGAGATGGAACAAGGGTGAGCCTCCCAAATCACTGGAAGCCATTAAAACAAGGGGGGCTACTGGAATTTAAAGGTAACCACAGGAAACTATATAAACATTGGCAATGTCCTAAACCACAACCCTGTATGTTTTTATAGCAAATAACATGTTTGAAATTCAACCTAAACACTGTCAAGATAAAACCTGAGCCAGAGCACGCAACAATGTTTACTAAATCTTCTCAATGTTACAAAATTTCACAATGGCAGACTGTAACTACAGACTCAGTCACAAAGTCATTGTTGGTGAGGTGTTGCCACAGCACAGGGAACAAACTTAACTTTAAAGTGTGAAGTATCTGTGTTTCACTACCCTGAATCTGAAGATGATGATCTGAACATCTATGATGTTCACTTCAGTTTAAGAGAAACTAAATGTCATACAGGTCATATTTATTATTGGTCTAAAGTGGTAAAGTAGTGTCTGACATGAATCAGCAGAAATGACAAATCTTTACCAATTTATCAGAGATTTTGATTAAAGAGATGGTTAAATGTTGGCAACTATACCTCTCAGCTTTATAAATCCTGTTACAGTGAGCTTTCCATCTTTGTGAGAGTAAACAATGTTTGGAAACTAGCATGGCACTCAGTAGAGCACATACCGCCACCAAGGCCCAACAGTCCCCTGGAATTCAATCAAGCTGCACCAAATTTTTTTTCCATCAACCTCCATCCCTGTATTTGCCTCTTTGACTGGCTCTACATCAGATGTAAGGAGGATTTTTTTTCTGGCCAATATCCCATCCCTTCATCAAGTTTCGTGCAAATACGTTCAGTAGTTTTTTCGTAATCTTACCTACAAACAAACAATCCAAACCAGTCGGTAAACAAACAAATAGATGGCTGAAAACATGACCTGCTTGGTGGAGGTAATGAGTCTTTACTAGCCTCAGGACAAGAATGATCTGAGGGGAAACAAGTAATTTGGGAACCAAGCCCAGAATTACAGGACCAAACCTCAGATGTGACCTGAGGTTCATCAGTTTGGTCAAAAAAGTGATGATTCTCAAAGTGTCAAAATAAAATGTCTAAATCTAGAGGTGCCATAACATTAACCCTGAATGTCCCATGACTTTCTTGTTATCCAAAACATTTGTGTACATTACTTGAATAGCCTATTGTTGCAATGTTGTAGTCTTGAATATCATTATTAATTATTCACCTCTGTGGCCGTCATACGCCCAGAGATTGTGATAGGGAAGCAGAACTTCAGGGCAGGGCACTGGAGGTGGAGGTTATCAGTGTATTATTTATGTATTTCTATTCTGTTTCTACAATTTGTTTTTCCTGAGAATCTGACCTCTCCTTCTTTTTCCACTAAGTTACCTACAAGACTAAAAAAAAGAAAGAGCATGGACTTTGTGGTTTGATGATCATACAGTGTGATGTAAAATCATGTGTAATAGACGAATATGTATATGAGATATTGATGTCATTATTTTTGAAGAGCGATGTATTATTATTTTTTTATTTCTCACACATTTTGCAGAGGCATCGGCAGAATGTTGCAGTGACCATTTCCTTCTATCACGCACTGTACTTATCACATAAAGCTGGAGTTTTAAGTTTTTATTATTTGACTTTCTTTGTAATATATGAAAACATTTATTGTAAATATTTTTGCTGTAATAAATGATGGATGTTGACTTCTGTCCTCTGTACAACCCTGCCCCCTGCTGTTGTGTCGGCTCATGTGCAACAAAGGAAGCTGCTCCAGCGCCTTTTAAACACAGCTAGTAGTGGTTGAAACTCTGACAGGAAGTCATTTACAGGAAGTCGTTTATAAAACCAAACATCAAGCAGACACTGAAACCGATGAAACACCTGACTGTCTGATCTTCGGCCACCGAAGTGTTGCTAACAGGTAACAACAGTGGCGCTGGTTGTGGTGCGACACGATGGGCATCACGAAACTGGCCGACTTGATCCGCTTCGATGCTCCTGGTGCCATCTCTCACAAAGACATCAGTGACTACTCAGGTAACAGGCTTCGTGTCTGTCTGTTTTATCAGCACGGTTTGTTTGTGTAAACACTGCATGGTGCTTATTGCTAACGTTAGCATACAGCCATGTATTAGCTTCGGGAAGCTAACTATGATTATTGATCGTTTGACTTGATAACAGATTTATTAAAAAAGTATCACTCAAGTAAAATAACTATCAGTACAAGTAGTATAAGCAGTAAAATGTTGCCACAATGAAAGCTGACTTAATTTATTTAAGGACTACTTAATTGTGTACTTTTGAGGTATTTGTTCGAGTATTTAGCGTCTGTTTCTTCCTACTTCTACTTTACTACATAACTTGATCCACTACTGTTGATAGATTTTACGTACAAATCATAATCAGCTTTAAATGAGCAAAACTACTGAAATAAGTTTACGCTAACATCACCTGATCAGCTGCATTCATAATAATAACATCAATAAAACAGTATCTAAAACATTTAAACTCTTTGAAAAGACCAACTCTGCATGAATACTTGTGACACTGGATTTCTAAAAGAATGCAGTAAAAATTTTTACCACAAATGTGATATTTCTGCTTTGACATCAGTAATTGATCTGACAACCTTCCTCCACCTCTGCTAAAACTAGAACATAGTCACTGATGAAGTGTTTGATTCATAAAGCTGAAACTATTTAGGTAAATTGTCTAATGTTTTGTCTTTTACAGCTGGTTTTGTAGCTTTTTAAAGGAAAGGTGAAAGGACACAAATCCCAGAGTATTAGCAGTCACGGGTGTTCAATATAAAGTTCCTAGTAAGGATTTAATTCAGCGTTAAGAATCAATTTCCATTACAGGCAGCTTATACTGCTGCTGCGAACATTGTATGAAGATACAAGAGCTCAAGACGTTTGAACTGACGATCTGCTGCCTTGTAAATGAACCACTGTGACCTTAGTTTTGTAGTTGTGTACTGGATTGATGCCCACATATTAATACTTCCCCTGAAATACAGTGGGGTCAGCTTGTTTGAAAGAAGCAACAGTATTTTGGAGTGTACATCTATTTGAAGAGTGTATACATTTAGTAGAACAAGCTATTCATCCCTAATGGAAATTGTGTACTTGCAATGCTGATGATATGCTGCACTCAACAGGAAAAGTCATCGCTCTGGATACCTCTATTATTGTGAACCAGTTTCGTGCAGTGACACCAACACTAAGGTGAGCTCCTGGATGATCCTCTCTTCTTAAGCTTCTCTGGCGCTGTTGTCAATATTGGAAACAGTCCATAAAATAATGAAATATAACGCAGCTCCACTGCCACCGCACTGTTGAAACAAGCCTTTTCTGACATAGTGTCAACAATGAAAATAAGGCTTCACTGTTGTCTTATGATTTACAGGCAATTCTGTCTTCTGTCACTTATCTGCTCATTCTGTGTGAAAAAAAACGTTATTTCCTCTCTAGCCCACTGATCGGTGTCTTCTTCCGCACACTCACCTTCCTGGAGCATGACATAAAACCAGTCTTTGTGTTTGAAGGAAAGCCTCCTGAGGAAAAGACACCTGTTGTAAGTGAGACTGTATTTTTTAACCCGACCTAGTACTGAACATATCCTCCTGGTGTGTAAGACGGTCACTGGTCTGAAAGAGATTTAACTGAATTCTTCTCTGTGCTCACATGACCAATTGAACTGGTCGTCTTAAAAGTGTTGTCAGAAGAAAATATCAACATGAAGGAAGTGATTATATAGTGCAGTATCACAGATGTAAAGTGATACAGATGGATTAGAGTGACCCAACTGATCCAAGCTCCTGTTTTTCCTGCAGCTTGAGAAGCGAGCTGAAGCATCTGGTTGGAAATTCCCCAACTGCACAGGAACGGGTATAAAAGTGGAGGTTCTTTAGTCACGTTTGTCTTTATATTTCTGAGATATATCATATGAACTGCACATATTTTTTAAATGTCTTCTTAAGTGAATCTTGACTCTTTTGTGCTGAAAAAAAGCATCATCCCAGACCAAGGATTGTCTCCAGCTCATGAAGCTTCTTGGAGTACCGTCCGTCCAGGTATTATCTGTTAAGCAGTTTTAACATGTATTCATTCATGTTTATCTTTTTCTTTCTGTCTTGCACTCTTCATTTTTACCCCCTGTCTTGTTCTGTGATGGGCTCCAGGCTCCAGGGGACGCTGAGGCACTGTGTGCCCGGCTGGTGAGAGAGGGGATTGTGGACGCGGTGGCATCAGAGGACATGGACACGCTGGCGTTTGGAGCCAATACTCTTATTCGTCAGCTGAACGCCAAGAAGGACAGGTGAGAACTGTCTATTGCACATTGTTGAAATTTAGGTTGATAAATATTTTTACCTTCATGCCTTTTAGTTCTTGATAGAAAAATCTTATCTCTTATCTAAACTGAAGGATTCACCGGGTTGTTTCCAAATTGATTTTAATACTAAGCTCAACTTTTGAATTTCTAATTCTTTACAGTGAAGTTACTGAATATTCTTTACCCAAGCTGTTAGAGAAACTCCAAATCAGTCATGAGGAGGTGAGATTCAAATATTCTGAATATAACATCATACCTTGTAGAAACACAAATGGGTACTTTGACTTTCTTTCTTTTGCTTATTTCTCCCAGTTTGTTGACCTCTGTATTTTGTTGGGCTGTGACTACTGTGATAAGATAACTGGTTTGGGTCCTAGAAGAGCTCTGACACTGATCCAGGAGCACCGTACCATTGAGAAAGTGGTCTTGCATATCAACAGACAGGTACTCAATGGTCTTTGTTGTTCTTTCTGTGCATTGCTTTGCCAAAGACTGTAGGATCTAAAAAAAAAAAACCTATACCTGCTTCTCGTCAGACTCATCCTGTTCCAAATTTCTGGAAGTACAAAGAAGCACGAAAGGTATTTTTGGATGCACAAGAGACTGTAGCCCCTGAACTGGTCTGGACGGAGCCAGATGAAGAAGCCTTGGTTGGGTTTCTCTGTCAAGTCACACATGTTAAGTACGTGCATATCATGGATTTTTACTTTTTTTTCTCAAACCCAGCTTCTACTTCTTCATGCCTCTTTGTCTGTCACAGACTTGAATGAATAGTAAGTATTCATATTTTTAGGGTGGAGAGGGTGCGTCGTCGAATGGAAAAGTTCCGTCAGACACGGGAAAGCAAGCGAGAGGACCGAAAAAATGAAAAAGCAACAGGACGCAGCAGGCAAACCCAAATGGAGGACTTCTTTAGAGTAACCAGAAAGAGGGTGAAGGTGACTATAATCAGTCATCATTAAAAATATTATTTTAATTCAACACAAAAATACTGATGATTGCATTTAAGAATTTAAAATGACTATTAATATGTTTGGATTAATCATGAAACAGCTATCGAGCAGGAAACATTTGGTCTTTGAAGAAAAAAACACCATTAATAGGGCTTTTCAGTGGTTTTAAATCTGGTGTGTTGATCTGTCTCAATAGTTGCTCTGTCTTTCTCCCTCCAGCCTTTGGAAGCTGCAGAATCTTCAAAAAGCAACAGAAAGAGACCAAAGTCAACATAAGAATGCTGCCGCTTGTCTCTTCCGACAAACGAAAGGACATTTTTCATTAATCTCCATGTCAAGATCTGTCCAAGAATTATGTACCAAGTTGACAGACAGTTCACAAATCTGTTGTTATACTATACTATAATAATATGCTACATTCCTGTGCTAAGAGGAAATCCAGCCCAAATTTTTAATTCAATCACAACTGTCTCGACTTAACGCTTTATGTTAGATTGTGGTTTTGCATTTAAACAGTACTGTGTGTTAACTTTTAGTTTTCACCCAATTAGAAGAAGCTGAAACAGGCATCTTGCAAGACACTAACATCAAGACTAGTGTCAGTGCATGGGAGAACTACCCCCACTGACAATACAATAATCTGATCCTGTCTGAACAGCAGTGTCTCGGAAATGCATATCACTGAGCAGAGCCTCAGTGCATCCAGCAGTTTCCTGAAAAGCCAGAGCAGGCAGCAGACAGCAATGAAAGAGAACAGTGCGGTCACTGTAAGAGAGGACTTCCCCTAAGCCAAAACTGGAGACAGGGGGACGTCTCATCACTAGATATTCAATGAGCACCTGTTCTGCAAAGGATGCCGAGGCAGGGACCAGAATTTCAAAACGTGCACTAATGTGGTATCACGTGTGAATAAAGAGATAGTGAGATGTTTAAATCCATGAAAACAAGAACATTTTGCCTTATTTTGAAAAGACGTGGTATACACAGACCATTGTACAATTGTGTTATGTTTTCAGAACATGTTTGCAGTTTTAATTAAAATAATTGTTTAGTTGTGTGATGTTTTTTATTAAGAGTAAAATTGGATGCAGACACAAAATACACCAGTCAGATGTTTTTTAATTTTTTATATATTTTCCCTTGAGTATTTCCAATCAAAATTCGAGATATCACTCCGGACCAACAGGTGGCGCTGGAGGCGGTGCGGCTGCTCTGCTCCTCACTTTCTCCGTGTAGAAGAACAGTCAGTTGTCTGTGATAGAAGGTGTCTGCCTGGTCACCGCCGCGGCAAGTCTGCCCCGAAGACACCCACCCTTCCCCGGGTACCTCGACCAAAACTTTTCCACCCCCCCCCTGGTGTTCTCGGCCCGCGGTGTTCGGCCATGGCGACGAGCGCGAAGCGAAAGCAGGAGGAGACTCATTTGAAGATGCTCCGGGAAATGACCAGCCTGCCCGCGAATAGGAAATGCTTCGACTGCGACCAGCGCGGCCCGACCTATGTCAACATGACGGTGGGCTCCTTCGTCTGCACCACCTGCTCCGGCATCCTGTGAGTTACCGCCTGGTTTAAAGTGTCATGTTTGTTTGCTCACAGTGTCCGCCGGGGAGCGACACGGCGCCGCTGTCGCTCCGTGGAAGTGTCCCGGTCCATTTCTGACTCGGCGGTACCGTTAGCTCGTTAGCTAGCGTCAGAGTCGGGACAGGTAAACCCTGCAGCCGGTTCAGCTCCAGGCCGCTGGGCTGGGCTCTGTGATGTCAGCAGTTCGCTTTGTTCATAGTTTTGACCTCGGTGTGATAAGATGCTACACAGACGGGTGACACATTAAAGGGAAAACCAACATGAAGTGTGTTAGTGAGGTGTGGAGCCGCCAACCGGTCTGTAACTGAGGGACATGTCCCCGCATGGTGTTCTGGTGATGGTGCTGGAGATCACTAACTACAGATGAGTGTGTAGGAATCTCTTCTACTCATCAAACCCTTCATCGTTTTTTTTTTAAATTCACTCATTTTCAAGTTTTCCAGTCTCAGTGTGGGTCCCTACATTGTGTTGTTGCCTGTGGTCGAGGTCATGTTCATATACCTGCCTGTCAAATATTTGATCAACCTGCCTCAAAACACCGTGTCACTGGGGGGCCTCCTCTTTTTGAACTTTAGCTGGAAAGGCATGATGCAAACACACACACACCTCAAGATAAGCAGTAGCAGGGTGGGACTATTCTTTGGAAGTGTATTGAACTAAAATATAAATGCAACACTGTTGTTTTTGCTCCTTTGAGTTGAGATCTCCGTCTTTTTAAAGCACACAAAAGTAGATTTCTCTCGAATTCTGTTAAAATCCAATTTGTTAAAGTGAGCACTTCTTCCTCTGACGAGATCCACCCGAAGGTGTGGCATATCATGATGTAGATTTACACAGCATGACTGTTGCACAGTCATGTGCCTTGGGCTGGTCACAGTTAACAGCAACTACAAGATTTTAAATGAAAAACTTCTTGTTCAAGTTTTGTTAATTATTTTGGATTTTGAATGATGAAAAAGTTTCTAATTAACAGTGTAATTTGTTTTTTTCTATAATACTTTTTATATTTTGTTCGTTGTGGTACTTGAGAGGCGTAGACAGAGCAGTGGCTCATCCTTTAGCTGGCGTCTGATGAAACCGCTTCTTCCTAAGAAACGCAGATTGTTGTGAAATCATAACCAGGATTCATTCAGATGAGGAATCTGATTTATGCAATATCCTGTCTCACACTCACTCAGTTGATCACATGGAGGGAAACATTTCTGCTGATCTCGCTGTCAGTATGTTAAAAATGTTTTAATGAATGAAAGTTACTGCGCAGGCTTTAGTTTATGAATTCTGTAACAGTGCTTATAAAAGTGTTAATATCCAATTGGACCTTTTTCCCTATTGTGTTGTTTTGATCAACAAATGTGCCACTTAAACATCACACATTTCAGTAAAACATAATTGATTACATGATTATTCACCTTCTTGAAGTTTGTATTATTTGGAGCACATTTTGTAACAGTTACAGCCTAAGTTCTACATAGTCTTTATCAGCTTTACATATCTGGACACTATAGTTTTACTTCATTCTGCTTTATAAAACTGTTAAAACTCTCAAGTTGCAGTGAGCAGCACTTTTCAAACCATACCACAAATTCTGCACTCTGATGCTCACACCAGGACATTTTCAGCCTTTGTCCTGTAACAGAGTGCAGCAGGATTTCTCTTTACTGATCTAAATTCATTTTATCATTTTTTATTAGTTGCCCACGTCCTGTTCAGGCACTAACCCTGATAGGATGGGATTTTCTTTCTCAGCAGCAGTTTTGACTTCATCAATCTGCCATAAACTGGTGAAATAACACTTGTTGGTTGTTTGCACTCATGCAACTCTGTAGCTCCAGGTTTTGAACACTACATTCCCAGTGGTGTTGAATTAGTCATACACGTTTCACTCTGAAAAGAAAATGTAAATGACCATCTGTGTTTTGGCTTTTTGTTGACTTGTGTGTTTCATCCTGCTGCTCTTGTTTTGAGCTAACATTGACCTCCTCTACCTACAGGCGAGGACTGAATCCTCCACACAGAGTGAAGTCCATCTCTATGACCACGTTTACACAGCAGGAAATTGAGTTTCTACAGAAACACAGCAATGAGGTACCATAGACACTTTACCAAGAAATGACTCAGAAGCACACTGTGAAACATTATTTTCACAGCTGTCTGTCTTTTATTCTGAATTTGCATCTTGGCATTTTTTAGTCCTGCTTAGTCAACTTTATTGGCATACCTCTCTTCCCTTTTTTCTCTCTCCAATTTCTTGTCATCCCCTCCCCCCTTCCCCTTTACTTTCTCTCACCTCTCTCCCGGCTTTGCAACCACCCCCACCCCAATCTTTCCCTACCACCCACTCTCCTCATTCCTTGCCCCCCCTGTAGGTCTGTAAACACATCTGGTTAGGCCTCTATGACGACAGGACATCAGTTGTTCCAGATTTCCGAGAACCACAGAAAGTAAAAGAGTTCCTTCAGGAAAAATACGAAAAGAAAAGATGGTAACATATTTTTGTTTGTTTGATAAATACGTTTTGTCTAAAGTAAAACCCAATGTTAAATTAACAAATCAGGATCAGCATTCATGACTGCACTTATTCCAGTTCTTTATACTCTGGAGACCCATTGTATTAATGGCTATATGGTTTATTTAAGTAATGTTTGTACTTGGGTGCACATTGCTTTAAATAATTCAGTTGGAAAGGTGATAAATTCCTGAACAGTACCAAAAAGACAACTTCAAAAATAGTTAATTCAGTAAAGCTGGCGTGTTACGATCAACTGTGATGCAGCGGGAAAGAGTTCTGAGAGTTAAGTGTCACATCTGCCAAAAACCATTGAGCAGTTATGGACTTGGTTAACCATATGTTTTCAGTTTGATAGCGTGCTCTTCATTGGGACTTTTTATGCTCGCGTGTCACTTTCCTGTAAGAGCAGCATTGGAGGAAAAAAGCACAACTTTTGAACACTTCTTTTTTTAAAAGAAAGTACAAATTGATCAGATTGAAACTTTTAGCATCAGTTAAATCAATTGAAGAAACACCCAAAAAGTGTATTTCTTGCAATTTATTCACCTAAGCCGAGTTCAGACATGACTTGCCCGAACCCAATCCTCTGGACTTAATCCATGTTTTGCATTATGCTCATGCAAAACGGCAGGAGGTTCTCTGCACAGGCACGTTCACAGCAACAAATTCTTCACATTCTTCCAGCGAGGGGTGGTGCAGCGGACAGAGCCAGGAAGTAACGTAGTAATTCCGCTGCAGAGATCATGTGGTTTTGTTTACAGCACATCGACGCCATCGCCGGGTTGTAACACCGCAGATGAAATGTGTAGAATCTCTGGGGTTCAGTGCATGTCTGAAAGCTGCTCTAGTGAGATCATGTCACAAAAGCTTTATCTTTTTTTGACTAATTATGTTTGTACATTTGTGCCGATGCTCTTTCCTGAACATCCAGGTATGTTCCTCCAGACCAGGCAAGAGCAGTAGCAAGCGTCCAGGCCTCTGTGTCGGGCTCCTCAGCCAGCAGCACTGGCAGCACCCCAGAAGTGAAACCTCTTAAAACCCTGCAGCTCAACAAAACACCTCTGCGCCAGGTAACATGAGCCTTTTTTTATTACCCATTTAATATCACCTTGGTCTTTTTAATTTTGAAAATGAGTTGCAGAAATGTTCAGAAACCTTGATTTCTTCTTCCATTACCGCCCAGTCTCCAGGGCTAAGTCGTTCGCAAGCTCACAGCGCCGCTCAGGAGAAGAAGTTTGACTTGCTCTCAGATCTGGGAGGAGACATCTTTGCTGCTCCACCCACTCAAACTGCCAGCTCTTCCAACTTTGCCAACTTTGCACATTTTCCAAGCCAGTCGGGTAAAAAAACTTTTCTCTCAAAGGTTCCAAAACATTCAAAATGTCACTCAGACTAATAAAGATTAATATTAATATTTAGCAGTATGTGCTCTTTGGTTTGTCATCATCCCATGCGTTGTCCTGCCATTGTTTTTATTTCCACATCCAACGCCTGTGGTAATTTTTCCTTGTGTGTGGCTGCAGCACCTCAGGGTAATTCAAACACCAACTTTGCCAACTTTGATGCATTTGGAAACACTGCAATTCCATCCCATCTGAGCACGTCACCCCCCTCAAAGTCCTTTTCATCAGGTACCCCCTCCCTATCATTGTCTCCACCCTCTCCACACACACTCCCCCTGGTATTTTTCATATCCATTTTGTTTCTACTGTGTCCACTGGGGAACAACCTCTCTGTGCTGTAAAGATATTCCTAGCATGTACCGGTCATGGATATTTTAAAGGTTTTAAGAGCAATTAAGAAATCCAGAAGTTTTTGCCTTCGTCTTTTCAGCTGGACATTTAATTCTGAACCTTGGATCTAAACCTAAGATAATTGCAGTATGTCACAAATACATTTTCTCCAAGTTATCAGTTGTTTCCTCTTTTATTATTATTTGAGTGTGCCTGTGTTTGTGTTTACGGCTCTGAGAGTATTTATTTATTTTTTGTTAATTGTCGATAGGCGGAGGTGTGCCAATCCCGTCAGTGTCTAGTGCCGTCCCTACTCAGTCCCACACAGGGAGTTGCTCAGAGGACCGCTATGCTGCTCTGGCTGAGTTAGACAACAAGCTCAGCTCCTCTGTGTCCTCAGGCAGTGGGTGAGAGACAGTTCATCAGAGACAGTTTATTTCCTACATGAGGTTCCTCTGCATACTGGGATCTAATGTGCAGACACTACATTGATTCGATTAACTGAATGCACAGTGTTTTTGAATAACTATCACATGGTGAGATGGTGTTTGATCATATTACTTATGCATGAACTTAAATGCTCTAATCCAGTCAAGAAATTCCACTGAAAAGTGTCAGTGAACGATTTATTAGAGTACTGCATATAATCTTGGCTTCATCTTTACAGGAACATTTTTGGACCAGTGCTTGGTTCATCGCCAGCCCAGAATGCACCTGTGTTACCCACACTGCAGCCTGGCTTCGGAGGTGGTTATAATGATTACTCCAAATGTGATGCATACAGAATGACATGAAAACATTTTCTCATTTAGTTCCAAGACTCATTTAGTTACATCCTCCTATATTTCATCCAGCCATCCCATCCACAAATCCCTTTGTTGCTGCAGCTGTTGCCCCGGAGATGGCCACCAACCCTTTCCAGACCAATGGCAGAGCTCCAGCTGCAGGTGTGTCTATGTGTGTGCATGCATAAATTATTATTTTTTTTTTTTAATAAGACGAGTTTTATTTCTCAGAGATTTGTGTTGCTTTAATGTAACTCAGTTACATTGACCTTGTGATTTGCCATAGTATTTAGAATGTGCTCCTTGTGTGTATTTGTGTGTATCTTGTGGGTGTGTGTGTGTGTGTGCATGCATTCACTGTACACACATGCTCTGTGTGTCTCGTAGCCTCCTTTGGTACTGGCTCTATGAGCATGCCCGCCGGCTTTGGGAGTGCGTCTTCCTACTGCCTCCCGACCAGTTTCAGTGGAAACTTCCAGCAGCAATTCCCCGGCCAGGCCCCCATCCCTTACGCTCAACCGGGGGCCTACCACCCTCAGTCTAATGGTTAGTGGCCTCCCGCACCCCTCTTTTCTCATACCATGTTCAACCTGTGCAGTACCTGTCAGTGATCCCCCCGGCATGAAATATATATAAATGTTTTTTTTATCTAGACAATGACCCTCTGCACTGAGAAATGTTTTTTAGTCTGGCTGCAGTATAGTTAAATTGTGATCTTTCAGTGCCAGCTACTGAACAGTGATACAAGTTTGCATTTAGGGTAGAAAGCCTCAGGGCTGTGTTCTGTACAAAGCACAAAAACCAAATGAAATAATCTGACCTCTCAGAAGGCTTTGTTTACACCTGAATGCAAGCTGACACACCGGGGCTTGACTCCCTCCATTTTATTTCCCCTCTTTACATTAAAGTAGAAAAATAATAACTGAGTCAATGTTAATTATTGTAATTATTGTGTAACTCTATGGCCTTCTCTTTTTACCATGTCGATAAAAGTTGCAATGAAATACAAGAAAAATACAAATTCTCATTACATATTACTGAACTGCTGGAAAGTGCACAACCATCCTGTTACAAATCCATCTTCCTCCATCACCCCTAGGCCCTGCATTCCCAGTCTACAGTCAGAACAAGCCCTCCATGACGCCCTTTGGGCAGCCAATGACTGGCCCTGGCATGTCCAATAACCCCTTCATGGTGAGCGTGCATGGTCTTTTGTTTTCCTAACTAAGTAAAAAAATGAAAGAATAAGACTGTAAAGGAACTTTATAAGAAAACAACTGAACTGATGAATTTCAATGAAAACATTGTTATTTATTACACTTGATTATAAGGAATGATTTTCTTGTAACATTTATGTTTTTTTTTAATCTTATTTCAGGCGGGTGCTCCAGCCGGGTCATTTCCTTCAGGGGGTTCATCCACCAATCCTTTCCTGTAGCACAGCCCCAGGTTCTCACCACCAGAGGGCAGCATGCAGCACATACGCAACTCACCGTTCCACACAAATAGTGGCCGTACATTTCTTAAAAAAAGACTCATAAAAACGTTTACAACACTATGAAGGAGTACAAAGGACTATATTGAAGCCTAATGGACTGTTATGCAGGGTCTATTATTTGGACTATATACATTATATGCTTTTTATTTTTTGTTTATGACTGTAAGCTCTGTGCATATCATTTGTAATCGCAATTAAGTAGATGTTACGTATAACAAAGACTGAGTTAAAAAAAAAGGTGAGTATACACACACCTTGTGGGGAAAAAAAAACTACAACCACTACAAGCTATGTAAGGGTATACACTTTTAAAAATATTAACAGGGTTCCATCCAAATCCATGATCTGTTGTTTGAAGCAGCAATGATGATGCAAGCATTTTATTTTCAAAATGGGATTTATATTTGTTATTTTAGCATAATTGCTACTATATTGGCATTAAGGTGCAAAACTGTCCTTTTTATTAACTTACTGATTCAGAGAGTTTATATGACTCAAAGCAACAAAACCTACATCTTCAGAAGTTAGAATAACATCCCAAGCAGGTGGATGGGACACAGCCTTCATCCTGGACTTTTATGATAGTTGTCCTTTCAGATAATTAGGAAATTGTGAAAAAAATGGGACAGCTATTTGAATTTAAAGGTAGCAGAGACATCACATGCTCTGCCTACAAGGGAAAGGGACAGACACGTCTATTAGAGCACAAACAGGAATGAAGCGCAGACGCTGAGATGAGTATCTCTTTGTCCTGCTACTTATTCCTCTGAAACATTGATAAGATTGTTCACTGATTTCTCTGCTGCTGTTTGAAGATGCCAGAGGAGCAGATATCTAATATTTGGTTCAGTTGTTTTGTAAAAGACGAAGGGAAAGATTTTTTTTAGGAAAGCGCAGGGTTGGGATGTTTCTTCCCTTTAGACAAACTGTTATTCAAATGGTTGTAGGTGACATTGCCTACTGATGGGGGAAAACAGGTTTACCAGACTGTTGAGACAAAAACAAGTGCAACATTTGAAAATAAGACACTAATGGGATGTACGTTATGTTGTATTCAACACACTCCTGTGATAATCAGTCTTCTTCTTTACCTTCGGATTGAAAAGCTTTTGGAGAGAGGAACAGGATGAGGAGAAACTCTCCCCTCAGTTTGCTTTAAATGGGGCAAAGGAAAAGAACAGATTCATTTATGGATTATTATTACATCACTGGATCCTCCTGTCTCTGGAGGACTGGGGTCTTAACTGTGCCACCAATGACTAACAATACATTTGACAATGTGTTTCTTGTCTTTACAAGAATTGGTAAGTAAATGTGTACATATATAAATATATGTATAAATAAATTAAAAGATTTTTAACTACAATAATGACTTTGTGTAACTTGTTAATATAGTGCCATTCTTAATCATTCAGAATGATGAAGAAACGAATCAATCCCCTTTATGAAAGTTGTTTTTTTAAACACAAACTGAGCAATAACTCTTGCTAACTAATAAACTAATCTTTCAAGAAGAACATGTTTTGAAAAAGCCTCCAATCCTCTGAATTACTTCTATAGTTCAGCTAATAAACACCAGTGAATTCCCTTATCTTTATTTTTATATAAAAGTTATATCATGAAACCGTGGCCATTAATTCCAAAGCTTGTCAGATGGGTTTTTTTTACATTTTCTATAATTTAACTTTGAATAAAAAAGAAAGACGCCAACTCTGCCCTCCTTGATTGAGAAAGCCTGGTTGCCACGACAACGCCCAAACTTCAACATGGCGTCCCTTCTTCCCGACCCTCTGTTGGAAATCTGTGGACAAGGACCTCCACCCAACAAGAACTTCTACTATCTAACTGTCACCAAGTCACACGTGAGTACCGATGGAAGCACGGGAGGTTCTTCTCTCTCGTGCTGCTGACGTGGAGACACTGAAGAACTCAGCTGAAGTTAGCTCGACTAGCTACAATCATAGCAGGGTTAACGTTAGCGTGGACACACACACACACACACGCAGACAGTCTAAACACAATCTTATCTTTACCATGACTAATTACATATTATTTATTTTATTCTGGACTGGCCCCTTGTGCTAATCTTAACCATCACAACTGAGTGTCTGGCCCTGATCTTATTTTAACCCTAACCCTTAAAAGCAAGTCTTGATCCTCAAACCAGCCGGAGAAAGTGAGGACTGGCCCAAAGATCTGTACTTAAAATGATTGAGTACACACACACACACACACACACACACACACACACACTTTTGTGGTTCCAGCTACAGTGGCTATCTTCATGGTGCTAAATCTCCTGGGACATGATTTCTCAAGAAGAGTGAGAACCCTGATATCTGTTACATCTGTAAATATGCTTTTCCTATCATTACAACGAGGACCTCATCCTATAATGATTGTTACTCATCCTATAATGACTCTAACCATCTGGTTGAGAATGCTAACTGATCTGGTTTGTGGATTTATTTATACAACCTGAACACTGTTTGGTTGCTGTGGGTTTTCTTGTTCAAATATTTCTAACTATACACTTTGACCTGTCATTTCCAGGTGATATGGAGATGGTGGACGATATCTGCGAGAGCTGTGGACAGGTACGCCAAGCCTGGGGAGCTGAGGGACTCTCACGAGGAGTTTCTGGACAACACTCGGCTGCAGAGTAAGGACCTCAGGGAACACACAGTCAGAGCTGTGTTTTCACCAACATCCCACAAATCTCCCAATTTTCCTCCGTGCATGGTTGTAGATTAATAACGAACAGACTGGTTATGTTATTAGCTTAGTCTATAATTTATTCCTAAATACACATCATCGATTTTCTAATAACCCTGGACTTTGATAAGCTTAGAACATTATACATAATTTGAGCAAGTTTCGTTTACAGTATAAATGTACATAAATGGGTGATTTTTTACGATACAGTGTTTTAGGTATATATTTATATTTGTAGCCTTGTGAATATTTGATGTGAGAACAAATCGAATGCTTGTGTATAAATGACAGCTAAAATAACAGGCTTCTTCCCAGGCGAGGTCCGTATGGTTTTCGGCCGTCAAATCTTGCAGTACACCAAGGGTCTGTGCCAAGGCCATTATGATTATCTGGAGCACCTGCCTGACTCCTTGCTTCTGTGGATAATAAATTATCTTGAACTAGAGGATGTGGGTCAGCTTGCACGGACGTCACGTAAGTTCAGGCAGGTGAGTTTATTGAGACACAAAACAAATGATAAGTAAATTGTATCCTGAGATAAGAAAGTCTATTATTTAAGGTTTCATTATTGCACATTTTTTTATTTTACCCCGTCTCTTCTGAATACACTATTAAAAAAAAATCTAAAATAGTGTGTATTGTTCAATGCAACAAAATCAGGTTGTTTGTTCTTATTTTGCATTTCAGCTATGTGGGTCAAAGGAGTTTTGGGAGCAGGCAGTGCGGCGGCGCTGCAACACAGTTTCAGTTGACGTGGAGTCTCTGGCTCTTGAGGAGGGCTGGCGCAACATCTTCTTCACCAGCAAGCTACAGCTGCAGAAGAAGATCAGCCGCAGGAGGCTAAAGATCGAGGAGCAGCGGGAAGGACAAGTCTCTGGTGAAAGCTCAGAACCAATCCAGACGTCTAGTTCGGAGGAAGAATGTCATCATGGCATCATTGGCTTTGACAACAACTCTTGCTGTGATGTTGATCCTGAACTCAGCCCTGAACCTGAGGCTGCCTCTGATTCCAGTCAGTGAGGATATGAGGTGCTGTGAGGTGGAAACACCAGTGCAGAGTTTTGCACTGAGTAGTGGTAAAGGAGACAACAGTACTGAGACAAACACATGACACCTATCTGAAGGTTCAGTTGGATTCAGTGGCATCTAATGGTGAAGTTGCATATTGCAACCACAACCTCTCATTTCACCCTCTCTTTGTAAGCCTATCATACTGTGTTTGAGAATCTACAGTGGCCTTCAGGTGAGGTCCTCTCTCCTGTAGTGCCATTGTGGTGCTACATGACAGACTCCATTGGAAAATATTATTTTCTATGTCTCCTAATAGATCCCCCTAAATCCTGCATACTGGACCTCTGAGCTTTTTGTCAAATCCTAACTTTGTACTGAGAAAACAATTTCTCTCAGGGCTTTCATTTGTATGCCATTTATACACATTCCTCAACCATCCAACTTCTCTTCATATGTATTTTTTAAAGGTTTGTTAGATATTAATTACTGGATATTTGGGAATTATTTTTATTTGTATTTCTACTGTGCCATGACTATTCAGACTTAATAGACATTAATAAGAACAACAAATATATAGGAGGAAATGGTACCTATATTAATTGCACATTATAATATAAAAGTTACAGTAAAGAATATTTTAAGTTGTCAATTTAGAAATAAAGTTGTTCACAGCTATACTGTGTGTGGCTACTGTCATTCTTGAACTTCGTCTGAGCAAAGTCGAGGAAGTATTGAGGAAACACAATCATGGTAACTAATACTAAATATAATGATGTGATAATGTATAATGAATGATCAACACCTGATCAAGTAGTAGAAGTGTTTCCTACCAGCATGATATACATACTTTTGATATATAGGCTGATATTATAACATTTTTGCTAATGATTGTAGGTTTTTAAGTTACAAAAACACAAGCATCAGTAAATAAAATGTTTTAAAAATAATCAGTACTGTAAATCCAGCTGTAATAACATTAAGACACAATCATTGATAATTGATTCACAGGGTCATAAAAAAGTATATCTAAAATATAAAGTAATGACGAGCACAGTTTCAGAGCTGTTGATCATCTATATATTGGATTTGGATTCCTGGAGGACACAGGTAATGTCAGTGAGTTTTGATGGGATCGTGAGTGCAGTGCATATAGAAAACACAGTCCCCTAGGGGGCACAAGCTGCCAATGCTAATGGTCCATCCTGTGTTGAGCTCACACTGACATCATCACTAGACTCTTGGATTGCTTTGCTGTATGTTGGGATATGCTCTGTATGCTGGTAGATATGCCAAGTGTCACTATGGAGTTTTTTTATTTCCCAAAATGCTGGAAAAGTTTGATTAAGGACAAATAAAACTGGATTCTGACATAAATATTGCAGATAAATATCCTTGCACTTAGATGCTTGAGACAGTTTTATCAGTGGGGTTATTTCCTTGCAAACACTCACTACACATTTGAGCAGTCATGCTCTGTGTTTCAGTCCTACATCTTACTGCTCCAGCTCACTGTTTAGAGTTCATTCCCTCTTCACAGCAGGGTCCAGAGCATTTTGACCTCAGACCTAATAAAACAGTCAGTCACTGACCTTTTTGAGCCACATGAACTTTGAGAGAAGTAGTCACAACAAGGACTCTGTTTCATCTACCAAGCAACTCTACATCTGGTATTGGCCCAACACAGGGTCTGAGAAAGTCTTAAAAAGGTTTAAATATGATGTACTTTAAGGGAGGTCTTCATTATTTTAACATTTAATGCTCCCTGTTGTGCTTTAAAATTATTTTTTTTAAGTGAAATGTACATGCATAGTTTGTAATGTCTCTGTGAGTAATGTGACTACTTCCAGCTCAGCTGTGGGAGAGACTATGGATTCCTTCCGTCTCCTCCTATAGTTTTAAAAATAATGTGGCATTTCCAGGGTTATTCTCTCAGCTACTTCACTTTATCTTCAGCAAATGGGAAATACGAGTAATTCTGAGCCTCCAAAATTCCTAAATATCAAATTTTATTGATTAGGGCCTAAAAAAAGGTCTTGAAAAGTCCTAAATTTAACTTGCTGAAACTTAGATAAACCCTGGTAAAATATAGTGCTACTTAATCGTGGAGCGTTTTAGTGCCCCTGCTGCTTGCATCCAACCCTTTACAGTGCATGTGGTTGTGTTGGGGTTCGGGTTAATTAATGTCTATGGTCACTTAATTCCTTGTTTAAAATGACATGAAATCATTATAATAGAGAAAGACCACAGACTCTGAGACACATTGCAGTCTTGCAGGGGCGATAATGGAGCGTTTAGCTCTCTGCACCACTCATTTGTGATCGTTACCCACTGCTCGGCTGTGAATATGTTCCATCTACTGCCTCTTTTTGTGGAAAGCTTGAAGGGAGGCCATAATTGGATATAGTCAGACCACGTAAAGACCATGTAGTGGGCCATGTGGAAAATAGGATGAGTATGCTCTGTTCATCTTAACCTTTACTCCCTCCTCAGGCCAGTGTAATCCTCCCAAGGTTAAAGGAGCAGGCCGCTCAAAGATCAAACATCTAGAATCAGAAAAGATTGCATGTCTAAATCACAGCAGGGACGTAGAAGAACACCAATTGCTCTTATGTACAGATGCAGCTCTGCTCAAATTCTCAATATCTCTAATGGCAGATTTTTATGAGTTTTTTCAAAAGAACATACTTTTCTCGTGAATGAATGCATTCATTTGTGATGGACCCTTAATGCTCAGCAGGGATCCCATGTAGAATAGTGAAACTCATAGAGTGATGTGTTATTCTTTGTTCATCTTTGACTTCCCTAACCTGGTAAAAGATGAAGCCTGTGGTCTATTTTTATCAAGTCACAAGGCTTCTGCACTTTACTGACATTATGATCCATCCACCTTTCTTTCCTACAATATTTACTATTTTTCACTTTTACTCTTGGCACCAATCCATCTAATATTTAAGTGTCCATCTTTTTATGTGTGGGTGTCAGCGTGGGCTTTTGTAAGTCAAAGGGCTGAGTCTGGAGCTCTCTGACGGCAAGCAAAGCCCCTGATCTACTGCAGGGCGCTGACGGCTTGATACCATTTGAGAGAGGATTAGCTAATATTATCCGAGGTTAATCGCTCTGAATTAGCCCACATCACCATAGTTGTGGCGTAGGGTGACTGCCAACAGCAACAATGGGGCGAAGAAAATAGCAATTCATCATATTACACGAGTAAAAATGATGACCACCAGTCTGGGTTGAGAAATGTTCTGCAGCTGTAGTAAAATGTGCTGTGGGAACATCAAAAAAGCGTATCCGAATCCTCAACCCCAAAATTGAATGGGGTCTTCCATGGCCCGTATCCAACCCTTCCGAGAAGTTTCAAGAAAATCCATTGTGTAGTTTTTGCGTAATCCTGGTAACAGACAGACAAGTGTTATGACCTCCTTGGTGGAGGAAATAATACTTATTCGGCAGATTTTCTTGAATGTTCAAAGTTGCTATCATTGTAAAGGTGTGGTCAATGAAACAGTATGAGGTCAGAGAATGAAGCAGGCAGGTGATGAGCTCTCTGAAGTACCTGCTCTGTTGAGACTGGGAGCAGGAAAGACAGGAAGATGAGGATGCATGAGCAGCCTGGTCTTAGAGCCATGAATTACTATAGAATGACTTCTTCAATTAAGGTATTTCATCTTTATTCAGCTTGAGGCTCCAAATAAATATTTATATGCATATGTTATCGTATCAAATATAGACACCAAGCATTACTGTGTCACTAGTCTCTCCCAACTCTCATAAGAGGATTCTCCAGAAAGTACAATTAGAGCTAGTTTTAAACGCCTCATGCAATTTCCAGGGCGTCTTCAGCATCATTTTGTCTTTTACTTTTGCATCATTTCACCATGAAATGCATAGCTAACAAGACATTGGACCACTGATGGAGACTACTGAACACCATGAACAAATATAGAGGGCTACAAAGCCTCTTAGGATAGAGCCCGCTTATGATTCCCTTTACGTGCACAGCATCCTCGAATAGGCCACACAAAGATCCTTAAGCCAAAATCCCTCCCTGGTATTTAATTCTAAATGAGTAATTACTGGGTGTGTCAGTGTGTCTTAGGTTTGCAGGTAGGTTGGGCGAAGGAGCTCATTTGCACGTTGGCTTCAGAGAGAATTGCACTCTCACACAGACACACACATTCTGAAAGACGCCACGTCGGTTGAAAGAGGGTATCCCTGGGGAGCCACTGAAGATTCCAGTTTCTGAGGGGGGACAGACCACAAACAGCTGCCAAGATGTGTGACATGGGGGGACTGGATAACCTGGTGGCTAACACGGCCTACCTAAAAGCCCAAGGTGGTGATGACAAGGAGATGAGAAAGCGGCGTCGCAGCTTGTCTCTCCCCAAGCCTGAACAATGCGCATCAGTACGAACCTCCATTGAGAAGGACTTTACGTTGCTTTGTGAAAGGCAGCCTATTGGCAAAAAGTATTTCCGTGAGTTCCTGGCAAGTAACGCTGAGTTCAAGCTTGCTGCTGATTTCCTGGATGAGCTGTATGACTGGGACCTGGCTGAAGGTGCAGTCAAGGAAAAGGCACGCCAAAACATCATCAAGAAGTATTGCAAGGCTGATTCCAAGACCTACCTCTCATTTCTTACTGGGGAGGTTGCTGACAAATGCAAGGCTGTGACAGATGCCAACTTTGAGGAGGTGATGAAAGGCAAAGTCCAGGAAGGTGTAAGAGAATTTCTGAAGGGCAACCCCTTCTCATCTTACCAAGCCAGTCCATTCTTTGATAAATTCCTCCAATGGAAAGAGTATGAGAAACAGCCCATCAGTGACAAATACTTCTATGAGTTCAGGACTCTGGGAAAAGGAGGCTTTGGAGAGGTAAGCATGCCAACATTTCATTCAATATATAGAAATATGTGTTATGGCAAATAAATTACCTTTAAAATCTATAGACCTTAGTTGAATCAGTTTCCTCAGGTAAGATGGTGTTATTAATTTTAAATTTGTATTACATTATATATTTTTGAAACACAGGCTAAAATTGCAAGATAATATGCATTCAGTATCTTTTGAAACTGCAATAGAGCTCTAGTTGAGCAAATCACAGTTGTGCAGTGTCAGTGTAATTGGAAAAGCTGAAATAGGAACGTAGGTGTGTAAGTGGTCCAACGTTGCATACGTGTAATTGTGAGGATTTACCTTGTCTCAAGGTGACCATGATGTTATCTGGCATGCAGACACAGCCTACCTGTGAAATAGAAAATAGAAAAAAAAGAGGCAGAAATGGTTCTCTGTTTTAAATGATGAACTATTATGTGAAATGATGAAAAAGTCCCTATTTCCCTTCAGGTAACTATTTAAATTGCAAGCTCTGGAAGCAGTGTTCTTACGAATGAGATATGTCAAGCTGAAAAAGTCAGATGCATATGAGATGGTGTAATCTCTGTTAATATTTTTAGATTACTGATATTGAGGTACCTCTTCACTCTGTCAAGCTCTCAGAAACAACCTTATGTGTACAACCCAGAAGAACTTGTACAACTTGTGTCATAAATGCTATGTAAGAAGTTTAAAAAAAATCCCAGTGACATAATGTTATTTAAAACTAAGTTGAAAACAACCTTTTTAGCTGCTGTCTAAATCTGTTGTGATTGTACGATTCTGTTTTCTTTAGGAGAAGCTCAAATATACATTGTGGAAATTGCTCACTCTGTCCACAATGACATTTTGATACCAGAAATAAAGGTTTAGTGAAAGATGTGAGTGACAAAGGCTGCAAGGACACAGCTGGCAAAGTTAAGTTGACTTGACTGGAGCCAGTTGTACCAATGATCCTATATATGAGAACTTTCAAAATGAGATAAAGCAAACAGCATCTGATTGTTTAAGAGAGGGATACTTTTAAATATGTCACCAGTAAAAGATGTGACAATTTAGTAGATTAAGGATCATCAGTCAAATATATTCTGGTTAATTTGCAGTCATAATACTGAAGATCCTTATTTTTACAGTTTCCCAAAGAGAAATGTTCATTTCAATCACTGTTTCAAATGGAGCATGAGTAGTAGTCACTACTGATCAGTGTTGTGCAATGGTTATGGTCAGCCTGTCAGTCTGGTACCATGACTGGTGGGATTGATTCTAATGAATCAATAAGGAGAACAACTTATACAGGGGTAGAAAAAATAAAACAAGTTCTTTTAACAAATTTGTCTTCCTCAAGGTATGCGCTGTACAGGTGAAGAACACAGGCCAGATGTATGCCTGCAAGAAGTTGTGTAAAAAGCGACTGAAGAAGAAGAATGGCGAGAAGATGGCCCTGCTAGAGAAGAAGATCTTGGAGAAGGTTAACAGTCTGTTTCTGGTCAACTTGGCCTACGCTTATGACAGCAAGACCCACCTGTGCCTTGTCATGACCCTGATGAATGGAGGAGACCTCAAGTACCACATTTACAACATAGGCTATGATGGCAAGGGTGTGGACAAGGGCATCGAGATGAAGCGCATCATCCACTACACGGCGCAGATCACCACCGGCATTCTGCATCTGCACGAGATGGATATCGTATACCGTGATATGAAGCCGGAGAACGTGTTGCTGGACAGCCTAGGCCAGTGCCGACTCTCAGATTTGGGTCTGGCCATTGAGATTGTTCCAGGGAAGACCGTCACTCAGATGGTGAGTAGTAATAGTAGCCATTTGATTGCACACAACAATCAAATGGCTTTTGAAAGACAACAAAAAGCTGCACTAAATACACCAAGTTGCACTCTCAAACCGTTGAGGTGCTGTTAAAATGAAAGCACCCTGTTGGGTAATTACAGGGATTATTAAGTGGATCATTGTAAGACTTGTGAGAAGCTCCATACACCAGTGGGCAAATAAAATCAACCCCAATTCTGTGCAACTTAAAAATTTAAGTCAAGTCATCCATCTGTATGCTTGGACTACGTTTAAGACCACAAACATCCACAGAAAAACTTCAACGGAACAGAAGACCAAGAGCTCAGAGACTACTGGTTCCTGTCTTTGTACATCAGCAGAGTGAGGCTGAGGCTAAGGCTAAAACCTGTACTCAGGTTCTTGGACAGGTTGTCAATCTTGTTGGGGGGTTTTGCTTTAAATCCGGACAGGGATTACTGGAAAGCTTAAAGATCTGTGCAATGAGAGTCTCTGAATCCATTATATAACTCATTTGATCCTTTAGCAGTCAGATTATACACTGGCCATTTATAGTCTACCACCCTATGTAGGGGCTCTGTTACTGAACTTTAGAGGTCCAGTGTTTAAATAAAGCAGCAGTCGATAAGTGTATGAACGTTTCTGTCAATGACTTGGAGGCAAAGATTTTGTTACTTTTGCAAAGGTGTTACCTTGAGAATGTTGTACGGAAGTTTCCTCCCACAATTCTTCACAAACGCTGAAATTCGTGAAACCACACTGGCTACACAAGTGTTCTTGCATCTAACTGCAGGTTACTTGACAATTAGCAAAGCACAAGTCATTGTCACTGTGACAGGGTCCAGAAAAAACAAAGGGCATGACCACAACCTTTTAAATAAGCCAGCCAAATCTCCGCAACATTATCTTTAAAGATTACATCACATACCTGTACTAACCTATGGATGACCTGAAAAAAGATAGAAAGTTTGCTGCAGGGTTTCTTCAGGTCTTGTGGCAGCAAAGAGTAAGCTCTTAGCTCTATGAAGGTCCAGTAAGCTCATTATCCAGTACTCTGATGCTCCTCAGCCAGCCAAAGTGACTGGGCTAACCTTCTATAGGCAAGGCTGGCTTTGGTCCCCAAATCCTCTTAGTGAGCATTACACAAGTCTGTCCCTGACTAGATTGACAGATCCAGGTAAAAAACCTTAACTGAGTATGTTTAGACATGGTAGTTTGCAAACAAGGTCACTTAAACCCAGCTGAAAAATGCACTTCACTGAAAAATAGAGACGTGTCCCTCAAAAGATCCATGTTCGGACTAAATCATAACTTTATCATGCAATCAGACATGAAAACACTTGAGTAACCCGAGAAGAGAATGCAGTTTTTTTATTTGATAACTTTACCAACACACACACACACACACACATATACATAATACGTATATATACATATATAATTTTGATAATGCAGGCGTTAAATAGATTTTTAATTTTCTAGGTGTCACAATAAATATTTGACTAGAAGGTTTTGCATGCAAACCTGCTTAAGTTTTGTGAACAGAGTGGTACCATCATATCTTCATTAATCAGTCCGGACGGCCGGTCCAGTCACATCCTTGGCAAAGTCGTATCACACCCAAGTAGTAAAGACCAGATATGAATGTTCCACACATGTTTAGTGATCATAATCTGTAATGAAACAAAAATATTTGATTTTTTTATGTCAGTATCACAGTAGCAGAGACTTAATATCCTACCATAGCAAATTGACTATAAAAGGATGACGCATCCTACAGTCCTTATGATACATTCTGGATATATATATCGTCTCACCTCCACCAATCTCACCTGAAAAAGACTTTTCAAATGGGGTCCCTGCCAGATTAAGCTCCAGACTCTATGCCTGCAGCATGTGTGTGCACTATTCATGCACTAGAGACACGGCTATGTATTTCGTCTGGTGGCAATTGCATCCAGAAATGGACAGCCTTTATGCAGGAGATGGGACAACTCTGTCAGTCCGTAGACACATATGACTCTTGACAGGTAGTAGGCTTAGCATTAAGATTAAGCTCCTGCTCCAAGGCTGCGGGTGAGGTCGTACAGGGAGATGCAGGGGAGGGACAGGGTGGGGGAAGGGAGCAGGGACAGATTTGCCCAGAGAGGGAAAGGTGAAAGCTACAGACAGAAAGAGAGATGGCAAAAAACTATATGAAGGTTTTTGTAAACAAGGCAACACATTTAGTTAAAATGTTGTTCTTTAAAAGTCTGTAGTTCCACGAGTCTCTCTCTCCATTCTATATGTCTTTACAATGAACTAAGTGTTGCACTGTTTGCATTGCTTGTGCTGCTGAACTATCACATAAATCTGTTAATTTCCTTATCCTACACAATCTTGTAATCATACACACGTCACTATGCATTTAAGCATCTTAAAATGTACTAAAATGGCATTTATAGGTGAACCTTATTTTCAGTCTTCCCTATTGACCTCCTCGCCCTTCCTCAGGCTGGCACTGGAGCGTACATGGCCCCTGAGCTCCTGAACAAAACCCCATACAGGACGTCAGTGGACTGGTGGGCCCTGGGCTGCAGTATCTATGAGATGGTGGCCGGCTACACACCTTTCAAAGGCCCCGAGGCCAAGAAAGAGAAGGTGGAGAAGGAGGAGGTGCAGCGTCGCATCCTCAATGAAGAGCCAAAGTGGGAGCACAAGTGCTTTGATGCCACCACCAAAGACATCATCCAGCAGTTCCTGAAGAAGAAAATAGAAGAGCGCCTGGGCATGAAGTAAGAGGTTCTTGTATTCTGTATAGCCTTTTGCAAGAAACACAGTGTTAATTTCTGTTCACAATGGCTACGTGAATTTAAATTCTTCTTCAGTAGTTTATTTCTCAAAAAAGTATCTTCCACGTATATAATATCGTGGTAGAAAAGCTTAGTGGCCATTCCCCACAGGGCCTTGTGTCCACTTTGTTCTTCTTTCATAAAATCCAACATCACAATCTTGAAAATCTGACAAAGAAGAACACTTTTTTTTGCTTCTCTTTAGGAACAACATGGAGGATCCCAGGAAGCACGCCTGGTTCAAGAACATCAACTTCCCCCGACTGGAGGCCGGGCTGGTGGACCCTCCTTGGGTACCCAAGCCCAATGTCGTCTACGCCAAGGACACCGGCGACATTGCAGAGTTCTCTGAGATCAAGGGCATCGAGTTTGACGCCAAGGACGACAAATTCTTCAAGGAGTTTAGCACTGGCGCTGTGCCCATCCCGTGGCAGCAGGAAATGATTGACACTGGACTATTTGAGGAGCTCAGTGATCCCAACAGAAAAGAAGGTGGAGGAGATGTAGATGATGAGAAGAAGTCTGGTACATGTATATTGCTGTGAGCAACGTGTTTGATATATCACATGCCAGTCATAACGCTCTATAATTTGTTCTCTCAGTCCAGTGCCCACTAATATTGATGGATCATGTTTCATGAAACATGCAAATGCGAGCGTCGTTGAGGAAAACGTCCCTGTCTTGAAAAGATGCTCATGGTTTATAAATCTACTGCTTTCAGGGCAAGGTCCAGTAAAACATGGAACATGTGATACAGTATATTGAGCATTTTCTTGCTGCCTCACAGCTTCTCTTTGCAGATCTAATGATGTAGACTTGTTAAAGAATACTAGTGTAAAAGGACTAAGATTAAGGCCTTGGTGCCAAAAATACAATAGTGAATACTTTATAACTTTATGAAAAAACTCTGCAAATCCAAACAAAAAGTATTTGGAGTAGAATGATAAGCAATGCATTCAGCACTAATCTTTAAACAAAATGGAACAAGCACATGTCCTCTAACTACAGTATAACACTGCTCAGTTTGAGTATCTTCTAGTGGACTGTGTAAATGTAAATGTAAGTATTTTTTAGCACTCTCCCTCCCTCTCCTGCCCCTATTGATGCAATCACAAGGTCTCATTGTTTCTACAACAAAAAGTGCTTTTTAACCTCACAAATAGTTGCGTGTCATTGTAATTGTGGTGATCCTATCACTGCATTTACATCCAGGTGTTTTGTTTCCTTTTGCTCGACATTTTAGTTTTATAAAAATCTCTGAAAAAAATTGTTGCATCTGTTTGTATTGTATATAAAGAAATATATTTATCTATGCACACAGATAAAGAAGAAGATGTAAGTATTAAAAGTAGGATTTGAAGAAGGAAATGAAAAATACTGAACGCCTCTTCACTGAGTCCCTCTACTGTCGGTGCTATGAGGCTCAGCTCGGTGAGGAGAAGGAAACTGTGTAGCCCCGGGATGCTGGGAGAGAAATGAGAGCAGAAACAGCAGGTCACTGCTGCACGTGGAAGATGTGGAAAACTTAGAGGAGTTGGGCGGTAAGTTCCTGTACCAGGAATGTGCAGGATGCCCCGTTCATGGCCCTGAAACACTGATATTTCAGGGCTTTATTTCTTAGTTTGAGATGAGTATAAATAACTCAAACTAGCCAGAGCCTGAGAAAAAAAATTTGAGAAGAATCCACTGCCGTGGTTGTGAAGCTGAATTTACTGTATAGAGACTTTGAGTAGTTCAAAATAAAAATCCTTTTTATTCTTGTTTACTTGTCTCAAGGTAATTAATTGCTTGAGTTTTTAAATTTCCAGAGTTGAGTTTTTACAGTTTATGTTAATACAATATAAACCTATATGATACATGTACTTGTAAATATAACATCAGAGGAATTGCTACGATAGAATGTCAGATTGTAAAGCAGGATTTTCCTTGAATCTTCAATCATTTGAATAAATTAAAAATATTTCTTTTAAAAACTGTTTCTTTTCTGTGGTCATGAATATTTGTGTTTGTCTTAATACACATGGTTATATCATTATATGGAGGAAAGTGCTGCTGATAACTCTTGGAGTAAAACCCTAAAAATATCAGCTGCATTAATCCCTTGCAGGATGCTGACTATAGCCAGGCTGTTGCTTCAGGCCACCACAAATTGGCAAGTTCAACTCTTAGCTGATAAGGCGATAACCAGTGTTATCCTTGCGCCCTCTTTCCTTAAGTCAGCTTCAGAGGCCCTCAGGTTCTGCAGCATTACTTCCAAGTGAAGGATCTGAGGAAAAATCGGCAGCTACAGAGCTGAGCAAATTATTTACTGTATGGAAGAAATTCAAAGACAGTTGTAATGTTGCATGTGAGTGCTGAAAATTGGGGGGAATTGAACCTACTGATGGAGTCTAGCAAATCATTGCTTCATTGTAGAGGATACACTGAAATCTGAAGACAGGTACACTCGTACACAAGGGTCCTTTTCCAGCTCAGGATTTAGGTACTGACTACATTTACAACATTGACAACATATTTTTGCCCACTTTTTGACTATAGGGATGAAAACCCAAGAGATGAAAATATTTTTTTCCCTTTGTCTCACACACCACTTGTTTATAGCCGTCAAACTCAAGGACAGTAAGAGCTTAGGAGGCACTAAGGTGGATTCTTGGGTCAGCTAAACCCCAAGAGATTATCTCACATAGAGCAGGAGTCGGGTACACACTGCTGTTGATAGTGAAGGACAGAGCTGGTTCCTCAGGGTACGATGGGAACTGGACGGATGGAGGAGCAGTACGTGTGATCGGACTTCTTTTAATACTGATGTGATTTAATCTGATCCCCATGACCAGCGCAGGTAGTTTACAACTATTAACACAGTGATTAGGTTGCAGTTTATGGCTCAGAAAACATGTAAATAATGAAAAATGCAGTAAGACTTGCAGGCAGGTGTACGTGGGTCAAAGCATCTGACATAACTGCTGAATAAAGCATAAAGGTGTCGTTTAAAACCATTAACAAAATAAGAAAGGGGTTCAGCCAATACGATCTTATCTCTTCTTTTGATAGACACATAAGACAAGTTTTATTGTTATCCATTATCACAGAAGGTTATTGGATATGACCTTAGTGGTGGGAAGAGGAAAACAAATCCTCATCTGACCACCAGGCATTTTTATTGGGAACATCAGAGATATATTTAATTATGTGTATTTGTCCACGTCCAGGTTTTACAGTTTGAAACAATGTAATAATGTGTTTCTATGAAACCTCACTAACCTCCTTGGTTTCTGTGGAGCTGCCCAGGCCTACAGGCAGCACCATGTTGGAGCATTGCCTCCACTGACACATTTGATCCTCCTGGCTTGCTTGTGGTGCCCTCGTGTGGCTGCAGATTTGTGCTGATAGATAGATAAATAGATAGATAGATAGATAGATAGATAGATAGATAGATAGA